AGGTTCATTCCTTAGACTCGGTATATGGGATAAGGATAGGCACACACAGGATTGAAAAGAGAAGTGGGAGAAAGAATGTTGCGAATGGGGTCGCTGCCGTTGAAGGCAAACGACTGCGTTTGCTGTAAGCCTGAACAAACGGCACCATTCACATTCAGATGACTAATTTTTCATGGCAATTTTACCCTTTTTTTTCGTTTCAACTTTTTTTTTAATGAATTATTTCATCATTTACTTTTTGTTTATTATAATATTTATAATTATTTAACTATTTACTATAGTTTGTTATAAAAAATATAACAATTTAAATTATTTATCCTATCATTATTATTAAAAATTATTGAACTATTTTAATTTAATTTTTTTTCTTAAAAATAGTAAATAATTTTTGTAAGTTTTGTAAAATTATTTAAATTTTGTTGCCTTTATTTTATTTATTATTATTAATTATTTACTATTTCTTTATTAAAACATTTTTCATTATTATTATAATTTTTTAGAATTCTTTTTAAATTTTTTAACAATATTATTTTATTAATAATTTTATTATTATAGTATTATTAAAGTAATAATTATATAATATTTTAACATTTATTGTTTAACAATATTAATTATTATTATTTATTATATTATTTTTTATTTATTAATGTTTTATTGATTATTAATTTATTATATATTATTTCATAGTAATTTTATTATCCATAAATTATATTATTTTTCACGTTAATTTTTAAACAATAAATTATAATTAAAATTCAAAGTGGTTTGTTTAATGTTAAAATATTTTATTTTTAATTTAAATAGTTGACTATTTTTTTTACTAAATTCTATCTGCCACTCGGAAGGTAACAGAATGCAGTGAGTGAAAGTTTACCATAAGAAAATTTTTCTTTAGGAAGTTCCTTCGTTAATTCAAAGATGTCAACAGCTATCAGGTATTGTTGAATTTCATAGAAAATTTAAATAAACATAAATAAATACAATAAAAAATAAAACAGATTGTGATGAGAATGTAAAAATTTATTAATAAATAATTTTTTTAATTATTATATAATATTATATATTATATATTTTATTGTATTATATTTCATTTTATTATATTAAAAAGAACAGCAACAATTTTTATCGATGATTGAAAAATCACAGAATTTTTTTAATAAATTATTATTGAATAATTGAGTTCATTTGGAATACTACCAACAGACACACGTATAAAAAGACACCAGCTACAAACTAAAAAAAATAAAAAATTACTAAAACTCACTCACTTTGTGACAATTTACATCGAATTTTTAAAACTGCCTTGCGTAAAGCTCTAGCAACTAATAAGAAACAGAACGCATGCGCAAGAGTGGGGACAACGAGACTGAGAGAGAAGTTTGAGTTTATCTCTCTCGCTCTCATTGCCTCCACTCCGCTCTTTACGTTTCACTTTTTCTTACACTTAACTTAAGCATTCGATACTGTTTTGCAATATTATTATTCTCTTATTTAAAAAATAAAAAAACTAAATATATTTTTTGGTTAAATAAAAAAAGAGAAAAAACTATAATTAGAAAAATAAATACTTCTTCTATTTACCTGAAATATAAAATCCTTTCCAAAATTATCAAATCCATAGGTTGAAAATTTGAAATTAAGACAATCTAATTGTGTAATAAACCAGGTGACCTATGTTGAAAAAATATATAAACATTAATTGTTAATATTTATAAACTAATACATAAAAAAGCGTCGCCTTTTAACGCATTTAACTTTTTCTTTCTCACCTCTTTTTTTATTGCACCAAATTTTTCCAATTCTTTCATTCTTTCCATAATTTTTCTAATATTTCTAATCTGCATGAATAACAATTTTTAAAATATTGTTTTTTTGTAGTAAATTGAAAATTATTATTTTATATGAAATGAAAAAATAAATTCATATCAAAAGTAAAAAGTAACGTAAAAATGACAAAAACCAATTTTTCACCTCAGTGCTGATTGTTGAACATAAGTTAGAAATGTGAAATAATTTAATAAAAATTAATAAACATTTTAGTAGAAGTTGTAGATTTTCGGGGTCGAAAAAGGAATTTTTTGATTTCACTACATTCACAGTTAAATTAAAAATCCACGATGTTGAACCTACGAAACTTGTTGTTACTTGTAAAAGTAAAAATTTTCCATAAATTTCATTAATTTCCAGTAATTGATCGTAAAGCACAAGATGAATGTGTCTAAAATAATTATTTCATTTTTAATACTTAATTACAATTTTATTATTGTTTAGATTTAAAAAAAAAAAAAAAATTATTGAAAATAATTTAAAGAAAACTAATTATTTTTACAAATAACTTACTGCATTAGTTTAACAAAATTTTTATTTCTTTGTATAAAAATTTCCCATTCAATGTCAATCGGTAGATTTGAAATTATTAAACGTTGATTTATGGCAATATTTTTCAATAATAATTGTTCAGAATTTTTCATAACGTTCAATTTTAGAAGATTTGTTAAAATTTTTAATTTCATTTCAAAATATCTTTAAAACATTGTAAAAGAGTAAAGTGTACATTAAAATTTTTCACATATATTCGAAAATTATTAAACAAACAATCTAATATTAATTAATTTTTAAATTAATATTAATTACATTATTAAATTAATATTAATTAAATATTATTTAGTAATATTAATTAAAAATGAATATTAATTAATTTTTAAGTTAATTTCTATTATTATTAAATTAATTAATTTCTTAATTTTTAAAAATTAATTAATTAATAAAACGAAGTAAATACGAATACAATAATTAATTATACCTACTGAAGAATGATAAGAAATGTTAAAAACACCACGCTAGTTGTATATAGTGGCCAATAAATCATAATGGGGCAAAAAATCATTTTTTGACCATAATCATTCAATGAATAAATAATTATACTAATAATTAACGGAACAATAAGTAGAGCAATGTAAATAATAATCCAATGTGAAATTCTTATGAAGATTCCAGAATAATTTTGTTCAATGCCCAATATTTTGAAATTGTTTATTAATCCTTCCATTTTCTCCGTCAGTTGATACATTTTCTTTGAAATTATTAAATATAATAATTAGTATATAATAATATAACAATAATTAGTAGTATAATAATTTGTGTAATAGAAAAATAATTATTTTAATAGTCTAATAATTGGTATAATATTAGGATAATAATAGTTAGTTATTTCTATCAGTTGAATCAATTTTAAAATTCCTGACTGAGTCTTAAAAATAGTAAGAAATATAATAGGCGTTCGAGCCAGTTGCTTTTCTGGGAATTCAAACTAAGCGTCGGAGTGGGGGGGTCAGTGAGTGCGAGAGAGAAGAATGGAAATTTCTCTCTCGCTCTCACTGTCCTTCCCCCACTCCGACGCTTGCGTTCCAAGTATTTCCCCACTTTTCGCTCAACGATTCTCATTGCAATGTTATTATTTAATTAATAATGAAATTAATATTTAGATGTTTAACAAAAAATTAAATAATTAATAACTCACCTCACGATAGTACCAACCATTGAATAATGCAAAAGTAGCAGTAATTGTTTCGAAATAAAGAATAATTTTATTAATTGTCTTATGAACATTTTTTGAATTAAAGCACAATAGAAATTCACAGGCAATTATTGAACATATCCATAAGAGAATTGCGATTAATATAACAGCTGGGAAAAATAATTTACTTCTTTTATTTCCAATTGGATAATTCGTCAATCCCAATCCCGTGATCCAATTGAGTATCAAAATATGATATAAAGTTTCTTGATAATTTTTGAAATGCATCTTTTTTAAATTTTTATGTAAATTTGTATAATAAATTAATTTTACTTTATTTAAATAATTGAAATTAATAAATTTAAATACACTTTGTTAAATTGCAAAGAAAATTATACTTCTGCTTCTACTTTACGCACTGTATCGAAGTAGAATAATTCTGTTTCCTATTGACAATAAATATTATCTCTTTAATCAGCAAACATGCAACGGTAATTTTCAGCAATTATACTTTCATTAATTATTCAGATTGCTTTTAATTGATTTTTTTAGACAACTATTATAAAAGTGAAATTATTTTTTTCTTTTAGAATTAGAAGCACAATCGATTTCAATTTTTTTTTTATTCGTAATACGGAATTTTAGTCGAGAGCGGAATGCAAGCGAAGGAGTGGGGGCAATGAGAGCGAGAGAGAAATTCGGGTCTTTCTCTCTCACTCCTACTGTCCCTCTCTTCGGCGAATTCATTTTTTCCTAGAAATCCGTTCCAGTGCCTCAACGTTAATCTCGTCTTCATATTGAATTAAAATCATATTTTTTTGTACAATTTTCAAATATTTATTTCTCAATTTTTTTCTTGTTACATGTTTAGAAATTATACACAATTTACTATATAATTATTATATAGTCGTAACTGTTATATACAAATTGTTATAAACAAATTTCTTAGCTAATTTACATAAAATTGACAAGACTAAAAAATTAAAAATATCATTTACTACTAACAAGAATATTCGTTAATTAAATATTTAATCAACTTATTAAAAAACTAATTATGTTATTAAAAACTAATTAAGCTATTAAAAAAACATAATTAAGTTAATTTAAAATTAAAATTTTCTAAGTATTTGTTTATAACAATTGGTATTTACAATATAACAAAATTATTATTTACTATAAAAATTAAATAATTAATAATAATAATAAAAAAAAGAAATAAATATTAAATACACAATAGAAAAAAATTTGCCTCTCTTTGTATGCGAAAAAAAATTAATTATAAAATTCAGCGATGCGACTAGTTATTTATTTTGTGATAATAAGCAAGTACTTTTGATAAAAATATTTAAAAATTTAAAATTTCTCTTTTTTTCTCTATTTGCCATAAGTTTAAAAAAAATAATAAATAATACTGAAATATAGTCGAAAAATAAATACAGAAATATAAAATGCAAAAATATAATAAAAACCATGTCGAATATAATAAATAATTCAAATTATTTTCATTTTAAAAAGTAAAATAAAAAAATATTTAAAAAAAACAATAGAAATTTAAATAAAAACAATCTTTAAAAAAAATGAAACTATTTCTACAAAATAACATTTTCAATGTCAAAATCGTCGGGAATTGGTATTGGTATTGCCGTATTTAAATAACTTTTTGGCATTAAATTCGAATGCATTGAATTTCTATTATTTGCCCTCTTAATATCCTCGCATAATACACAAAATTTAATAGCCGAATTTTTTTCATATTGCCATTCACGTAATTCTTCAATAAAATATTTTAATTTCATTTTCATTGCATTATTTGAATAATATGTATTTGAATTTATTTGTAACCATTTATTGGCTATCGTTAATATTTCCGAATAAATAATTTTACAACCAACATTAAAACGTTGACAATATCTCACTTGTACATTATTATAAAAATCTCTTTTATAACGTTTAATACTCTTTGAAATATTTTCCTTTTTTCTTAATGTCATCAAACCAACTATGTCCTTACAATATTTTTGTGGCCGATTATCAACTGAAAATGTCAATATTTTTATTATTATTATAATCAAGAATAATATTAATATTAATAATTATAATTCCTTATATTTTGAATAAATGAATAAACAACTTAATAAATAAATAAAAATTATTAGAATAATAGTAATGTTTCTTACTTTTATTAATATTAATTTTTATTATTTTTTTTAAATAATATAAAATTTTTAAATTGTACTTTGAAGTAAAAAATTTAAACTATTCATATAATAATAATTATAATTATTATTGTTATTAGAATAATTTATATAAAATAAATTAAATTTTATACTAGCAATTTATTATATAAAAATTTTAAAAATTGATTCTTACCTTCTTGTAATATTATCCACAGTGTTGACATCAGAAAAATAAATCCCAGGAAAATAAGTAGAAAAAGAAGAGAAGAACAAACTTTCTTTTTCTTCTCAACAACCGTCAATTGATTATTATTATTATTATTACAGTCATTAATATTTATTCTGTTTTTCACTGAAATTAAAAAAGCAAAATTATTAACAAAGAAAATTAAAATAAATTAACATTAACAAAGAATTAAAAAGAACTTTGAACGAAAAAGAAATTTTAAATTTTAATAATAAGAAAATAATTTAAAACTGCTTAAAATTAAAATTAAATATTGTATTAATAGAATAAATAAAAATAATTTTTTAACGTTCATTGATAATAAATAAAAATACAATGGACGATATTTTAATTTTTACTTACATGTTTCGCAAACAGAAATCATTTTAATTTGAGAAATTATTTTCTTGGCTTTTGCAATTTTTGGATAAATTTACAACGAATAGATAAAATTTTTTATTTTTTAAAATGTATATTCACTTTTTTGTTCTACTTTTATATTATATAAAATTTGTTTTGAAATATCATTCGAAAATGAAAATATTAATTATTTTCATGAAAAATAAATACAAGTATTTTTGACGGTTAGTACAACTTGAGATATTGTATATATGAATAGTTAGACCATAAGGACTAGACTGGACCTACCTTTGCAAAAAGTAATTAAATTTAAAGACCGACCCTTCTTATCCCAAAGCTTTGCAGGTAATTGTCAGGTACTTGTTGCGCACGCTCACACCTCAAAATTTGCATCTTCGTATAATATAATATAATATAATATAATATAATATAATATAATATAATATAATATAATATAATATAATATAATATAATATAATATAATATAATATAATATAATATAATATAATATAATATAATATAATATAATATAATATAATATAATATAATATAATATAATATAATATAATATAATATAATATAATATAATATAATATAATATAATATAATATACCTATAATATAATATAATATAATATAATTTTAATTTATTATAAACTTTACTATAATTTTTGACATTCATAAAATATAAGGATACAAATTATAAAATACATTCCAATTAAAAAATATTACAGTTTATTTGAATTTACATCAATTACAAAAATCAATCTTAATTGTAAAATAATAATCACATGTTTATTTTAAGGTTATTATTATAATACCTTATTATTTTAAGGCTATTTTCTTAAAATTTTAAGGTTATTTTATTAAAATAACATAACACCTTAAAAGTTTATTACTTTATTTTATTAAAATACCTTAATATTTTAAGACTATTATTATAAAATATCTAATTATTTTAAGAATTTTATTGCAATACCTTATTCATATTTAAGGTTATTTTGTGCAAAACATATGACTAATATACACGCAGTATGAATATAAAAAGTACTAAAAATATTCTTATCGATAATATTTCTGAATATTTGAAAATATTGACGAAAAATTTCTTTACTTTGCGACTCAACCAGAATAACGATTCAGGCTGAGGCACAAAGAAATGAAAATGTTTCTTGCACCGCAAACTGATGTATTTTTAGACATATTCAGAATTTTATATGTAAACTATAGTAATTATTCTTAAAAAGCTATATTGGATGAATAAGAGTGCAAAATAAAAAGTAGAAAAAAATTCCAAGCAGTGAAGGCAAAAAAATTTTAGAATTAATTTTATAACAATTAGTGAAAGAATTTTCGACAATTTTTTAATACAAAAAGACAAAAAAAAATTAGCTGAAAGAAAGTATAATTTTTTCACTGTGGAATGTTTTTTTTATAATTAATCCTAAGCGCACTGTACAAATATTCGATAACATGGCGGTTGTGCTTCGACTAAAGTGACAAGTGGCCGATCTTGACGCATACTCAAAAATGTTCTTTCATTGATTTTAATAATGAAAAATTCATCTAATGCTGTTGTTACTGGTTTCTTCATTGATAACATTGATGTATCATTCGACAATATTCCAGTACGATAATTCAAGGAACGACATATTTTTAATGCCTCAACATCCGACGTCACTGGACGGTCCAAACAATACGAATGCCATACACCATAGGTTTGTTGTATTACTTCTCCTTTGTATTTTCTGTCACACAAAAAACAATTTTTTCTTTAATTTTTAAATTCTAATTATTTAGAAATTAATTAAATTAATTAATTGCTTCTTTTCTTTAATTATTTTTTTATTTGACTTACTGTTGTTTTGTTGCAGATTGAATGTCGATGCACTGGTCCTCGTCCTCGCCATCAGGACAATCTTTCTCTCCGTCGCAAACCATGTCAGTGGAGACGCACGTAGGATTCATTCTTTGATCTTTTCTGAAAAAAAGAAGAATTATTAGGTAATGTATACCATTCCATCGAATGTATATAATTTATCATCAATATGCTGTTTTACATATACCTTTTACAGAAGAAACTTGTGTCCTTACAGGCACACTCTTTGGGATCCTCGTCAGATTTATCGAAACAATCACGCTTATTGTCGCAGAGTCTGTGCCTTGCCGTCAACGCTAAATACGCTCCACAAGTGCATTTTAAAGGTTCGTCAGTGCCATCTTTACAATCGTAATTACCATCACAGAAACTTGATTTGGGAATACATTTTCCATCTCCACAACGCATTTCACTTGCATTACATTCTAAGAACGAAAATTTATATTAACCCCACTGATTTAGGAGTCAAGGAAAGAAAAATACTATACTGATACTTACTGCATCCTTCAGGATTATTAACACAACGTTTTTTGGCCTCCTCGCATAATTCAGAACGTTCATCAGCCTTATCTGGACAATCAGGAATGCCATCACAAATTTTATTCCAAGGTATACATTTACCAAGGAGACATCTGGTGCCATCGCATTTTGTTCCCACAGCTGTAGCCGTTGTATTTTTCATCGCCTCCGAAATGTGAGTATACATATAATCAATACCATCTAATACTTCACTTTTATGGAAACTACAGCCGCTGTTCAATTTTTCAAATACTGCAGAAGGATACCAGCCATCAGAACCCAAACACGTTATTGTTCCACTCCAATCCTGAGAATCGGTGTTGTTCTTCAAAGAAAAAAAAATTATTAAAACAATTCAACTGTAATTATATAAGAATGTATAAAAAAATGTACTGATTTTTTGAAATAAAAAATTGTGTAATAAAAAATGATTTAATTTTTCCTGACAAAAAAGTGATTCTTTGAAATCTTGAAAAGACAAAAAAATGTTTCTTTGGAAACTTGAAAAGACAAAAAAACTGTTTCTTTGGAAACTTGAAAAGACAAAAAACTGTTTCTTTGGAAACTTGAAAAGACAAAAAATGCAGCACCAGTTCAACGGCAAGGGCAGCACAGGGTGAGTTTTTCTCTAAAACTTTTATTATTTTTCTATCAAAGTAAAAATTTAGTTTAAAATTTCCATTTACTTTTTTTCATTTTTCTTTTAGAATTTTTTTATTTTACAATTAGAAAGAATTTAGAAAAAATTACTTACTGCGCAATATGAGGGTTTATCTTCAATAAAGCAACGACGACATTTATCACAATCGAGTAACGGTCTGATGAATATATTTTTGCTGTTGTAATGTTTATCCACACCGACAGCTAAACATATATCCGACTCGGTTGGTAAAAATATTCTAAAACAAATTATATTTATAATTATAATACTCATTCAATGTAATTAAAATATTTAAATTACAAACATAAAATAGAAAAAAAAGTATAAATTTTCTTTTAAGAAGTAAAACAAATTCCTTCTCGCCCACAAACCTTTTTTCGTGGAAAATAGGTTGCACGTAACGAGTTCTATTCAATGGATTTTTCAAATGGAATAAAGATGCGTCAGAGTTTTTCACGCTTTTAATTTCATCGATTTCCACAACCTGTTGATGGGGACGATATATAGCGGGTTGATACGATGGCAATCCAAATACCCCAACAGTATAATTTGTCGATAAACTGATATGGAAAAAGGAAAATTTTTTCTTTCAATATAATTTGGAATGAAAAAAATATTAATTTTAAAAATACCTTCTCATATGATGAGAATGTAAAAATGTTCAAACTAAACATAACATTAAAATTTAAAAGAAAATGTTCTCATAAGAAAAGTAATATAAATACTCGAGATTTTGATTGCATTGTGAACTTGTGAGGAGCCAATCGTCTCTCAAGAAAATAGCAGGACATCGATAATTTCCATCGGCAAAAATTGCCCCCTGCCAAGGCCATTGATATGAAAATTCCTCAGAGAATCGATGAAGAGATAAATAAGCATTCACAGGATTACTTAAAACTGGTTTACATCTAATATAGAGACCGGAACATGTATTTTTATCATTTTTTGCTGGAAATTGATACTTTGGTGGATATTCGTAATCAGTTACATTTCTTCTTTCCTCGTAATTAGCAACTTTTACTGGGACTTCCCTTGCCGAATCCAAATATCTGGAAGAAAATAATTTTGTATTTAATAAAAAGTAAATTTTTAACTGAGAAAAAAATCTTTACCTGAAGCCAAAATAATGACAAAATCGTGAACCAAGATGAAAATAATTATCAACGTAATTTGGATTTTGTGGTTGATAACAATATGGTGACCAGGCGCCATTTGTAAACATTGTTATTATACCCTCTGAATTTAAATGTGGCCTTTCATCATTGTCCAAATTTACATATTCGCCATTACTCAATGAAACTAAAATTAAAAGAAAAAATTTATTTTCAATATTTTTTAAAATTTACTAAAAAGAATTTTAAATTTGTAAAAAAATAGGAGGGAAAATAATTTCTTCGTCAACTTACAGCAGTCTAATTCATCTTCATTTAATTTACAATCGGGTTTTCCATCGCATCTCTTCATCATTGGGATGCAAGTTCCACTTCTTGGACAATGATATTCATTACTGCTGCAGGATACTAAGAAATCAAAAAATCATTTCAATTTTAAAAATAAAAAAAAAAAATTTTATATGAAAATAATAGTTATTAATAATATTAAGTATTAACTATTTATAACTTTAAATCTACTATTAGAAAATATTGTTTAAACTGGACGTAACATCAAAAGTATTTCTTATTTTGAATGCAGCATTAAAAAATATTGTTTAAACTGGACGTAACACTAAAAGTATTTCTAATTTTGAATGCAGCATTAAAAATTATTGTTTAAACTGGACGTAACATTAAAAATGCCATAACTAAAAACTTTTTTTAAAACTTTTTAGTTTGAAAATAAGTTTCATTTTTGTAATGTTAAAAAAATATATTTACTGCAATCCTCTTCATCTGTGCCATCATAACAATCTATATGACCATCGCACAAAGCTCTCGGATTATCTCTTTGTAAAACTTCTCTACAAGAACAATCTTCTTCATCTGTACCATCTTCACAATCAAAATGACCATTGCATCGTTTATCGGCTGCAATACTCTGCAGCAAACTAAGAAAAAAAAATGTTCTTATTTACTACTTTTCTTTTGTCAAATATTTATGATTATTTATTACAAATAAATAAATTTATTACAAACAATAAATAAAATTTCCTTAATAATTATTTTAATTATCACTTACTCCTTGCATGTAAATCTATCCGATGGTACATCACTTGGAATATTGTTATGTTCAGTTGTTATTTCCTGTTGCACTGGAAGTCCAAAATTTTGAGGTATATTATCTGTGAAATTAAATGAAAAACATTTATAAATTTTAATTTCTTTTTAATTAAATTAAAAAAAAAATTTCTAATCATTCAGACTTACTTTCATTATCAGTGTCGTTAATACTGCCCAGTCTTGGATATGGATTTTCCAATTGTGGTGGTAATGTGTACCCATAACCAAACATTTGCGAAGGAAATTGTGATTCTTGAATGTTGGTTCGATGATCTGCCTCATTTCCAAATTCTGTTCCTAAACTGCCGAGGGAATAAGTTCTTTCTGTATTTCCAAATTGTGATGGCCAATTTCCATTATCTATTGAAATACCCGGAGAATTTCCATATTGCCACATACGTTGTGAATTGTCAATGTTTTGTTTAGGACCTAAACCAAAATTCTCCTGATTGTAAGAATTCACTCGTGGATTTTCCGTTAATGGTTGTATATTTTCATTAACAGAATTCCAAAAAGGATTCTCAGCTTGTGTTCGTTGATTATGATTTTGGTTATTGAAATTCTGATTTTGTGTTTGTTGATTAACATTTTGATTATTGAAATTCTGATTTTGTGTTCGTTGATTATTATTATTATTATTTTGGTTATTGAAATTCGTAAACATTTCCTGACTTTGTTGATTATAACTCTGTTGAGGTAAATTATTCATCGATGGCAATTCCGCTGGTGAATTTTTAAAATCACTATAACCAAATGGTAATTCCGATGGACTATTATTAATGTTGTCGATAAAATAAGATTGTGGTCGTTCCGATGGATTGTTATTGACGAATTGTTTCTGTGGATTTTCAGAAACACTTTGTTGATTTCTATTATAAGAAAAATTTGGTATTGGATTTGAAGTTTGTATTTGTTGTTTTGTTTCAGAACCAATGTGATGATCGTGAATATCGTGAGGTGATTCGTAATATGATCGAAATGCATTTTGTTTGAGACAATTTCTTTCATCTTCACCCTCCAAACAGTGTACTTTCAAATCACAATGTTTTCGTTTTGAAATGCATTGTTTTGTTCCACTTGTACATTTGAATCCGGGACATTCAAGTCGGGGTTGATTACGATTGTTTAAATGTGGATTTCCTGAAATTTTGAAATTGATGAAATTTTTTGAATTTTCTATTATGAGAAATAATAGATTCTAATTTTTTTACTCACCCATAACATTATAAATCCATGAGGAAAATTTACTGACTCTTGTGTAAACTCCTGGTTCATTGGCACGGGCACAACCGTTACCATGGCTGACAATTCCGGCAACGAACCATTGGTTACCATTTCTGAAAGATTTACTTTTATCATATGTATACTTAAAGTTTTGAATGCAGCATGAAAAATATTTGTTTAAACTGGACGTAACATTTAAAAGCATTTCTAATTTCAAATGCAGCATTAAAAATTATTGTATAAACTGGACGTAACATTAAAAGTATTTCTACTTTTGAATACAGCATCAAAAAATATTGTTTAAACTGAACCTAACACAAAAAGTATTTATAATTTTGAATCCAGCATTTCAAATGCAATTATGGTCTCAAAATTAAAAAGAATCACCTAATTAGTAGTATTAACAATTCCTAAATAAAGTTACTTACTTGCACATAAGAGGACCGCCACTATCACCTTGACAAGCATCCTTTCCCCCTTGTTTGAAACCAGCACATACTGTCGCATCTTCTATAAGATGAGGTTTATTGCAACTCGCCAAAATTGGCACATCAACCTCCTGCATTATCTCATCTAAAAAGAAATTTACAATAAATTTTCCAAATTTTCATTTTCAAAAAAAAAATATTCTCAAAATAACTGTTCAACTAACGAGCATATCCACTTTCACGAGAAGCACCCCAACCGGCAATAGTGCATTTTGCAAAGGCTGGTGGAAATTGTATATCAGTTGAAATGCAAATTGGACGAATCCAACGATCAAAATGCAGTGGTTCTTCGAGACGCATCAATGCAATATCATTGTTCATCGTTCGCTGATGAAAATCATTGTGAACAACAATTTGTATTACTTTTCTAACTTGTGCCTTTGGTGAGAAAGTGTTTAGTTGTGTTAATCCAGCTTGTATTTCATAATAATTTTCCCTTAGACTGAAATACGAAAATTTTAGTATTTATACTATAGTAAACAAATTTTATTACTATTATAAACAACATTTCCATCAATAGTTACAGTAAGAAAAAAAATTTTTACTTTATAGTACAATGTGCAGCGGTGAGAATCCAATATTCATTAATAATTGAACCACCGCAAGTGAAGGCACCATTTTTATACAATGCCACTATAAATGGCCAATTATTAAGTTGACTCTGTTTACCGCCCACTATTCCTAAAATTGGATCAGCATTATCATCTTGCATTGGATCGTAGAAAATTTGTCTTGTTACAAGTGATGATGAATTTTCTTTATTTTCACGTGAAACGCGATAATGTTGAGAACCAGGTGCTTTTGTACCGCAAAGAATGTTTGTGCATCTTACTTCAACTGCAGTGTAACAATTTGAAATGAATTCTGGTTTTCCAGAAACTTGTGGTATGATAAATGGTCCCGGGCGAGTGATTCCTGATATTGTTTTAATTGACGGAGAATTACTGGAATGAAGTTAATTTATTATTTTCTCCATAAAATGAGAAAAAGTTTTTTGGAAAATAGTCTCAATTATAAATGCTCTTTAAAAAAAATTCTTGTATTTAAACTGGACGTAACATTAAAAGTATTTCTAATTTTGACTACAGCATTAAAAATAGTCATTTATCAACTTTAGGTTAAAAGTATTTTAACATTTTAATGCAACATTAAAGAAGAAATAACTATAAACAGTTCGAAAAATAAACTATTATTTTGAAATTAGAAACTTACTGAAGTACAAAAGCTTTTTCCAATTCGCAGGCATCAAGTGCCCAACGTTGTGTGGTTGTACAAACAGGATACCAAACTCCTCGAACATTTTTGTGTAAAAATCCTGCATTATGCCCAGTAATAAATAACTAAAACAAAATAACAACTATTTAAATTTGCTTTTTTTCTTAACACATGATAAATAATAATGTAAGAAAAAACTCTTACGCCTCTATTGCCTGATGGTTCAGAGGTTAAAAGTGTACAATCCCACTCGTCCCTTCCATTAGGACAATTTTGCACTCCATCGCATCTTTGTTCGCGAGTAAAGCAACTGTTGATTCTTGAAAAAACATTTGAATCACTACAACTAAAAGTATTTGCACTGCAACCTGTTGTGAGAAGAATAAGAAAGAATTAATTTTTGTTAAACAAAAACAATTTATAAAAAAAAATTTTCTAGTTTGTAAAAAAATGTTATAGGTTCAATCCATATAAGTAAAAAAAAAGATTGTTTATGTATAAACAATATGTGACAGTGAACTTTGGATTTTCATGAATATGACATTTATCAGCCTTCTACATGAGCTGAATACTAAACTAAAATATACTAAAGGACGACAATCCTCTTTCCTATTCGAGACACCAATGAATACACTAATTGGCTAGCATTGAATTATTAGGAATGTAAATGAAAAAAAAAAATTACAAGTGCAATAAAATTTTATCCTGATTGTGAATTGATTTGAAAAATTTTTAATTTAAACTTTTACCAAAACATTCAAATTCATCTGAACCATACAGACAATCAAAATATCCGTCACAAATTCGTCTGGGTTCCAATCGATCTTTACATCTGCAATTAGATTCATCACTTCCATCATTACAATTTATGTAACCATCGCACCATTCGAATAATGGAATGCATTTGTTTCCACTGGCACATGCACGTTGTCCATGCCTACAATTTACGCTCGATCGTCCTAAAAGTAAATTTTAAAACAAAATTATTTTAAAATAAACACTAAAACAAAAATGGTTCAAACTTTAACTTAACATTAGAATTTATTTCAAATGTTATTTTACTTATTTTAAAATATAATGAATATCATGTTTAAATTAATATTATTTCCATTATTTAAATTTAAGAATTATAATAAAAACATATCCATTATTATATTTAAATTTAATTGTTAATTTCCAACAACTATAGTAATTAATTAATATTTCGAAATTTTGTAGAATTAAAAAAATCTACCTGATAAAGATTCTTGACCCGCTAACGAATAATAGGGATATTGATGATACGGATAATAAGATTGACGTGAGGTAATATTTTTCGAATTATCAAATTCATCAGTATTGCGTGTTTTCAATGGTGATTTATAGTGCGGTACATATTTGCAGTGAATCTGATTTTTTTCATTATTATTATTATTACTATCACGCTTATTGTTTGCATTGATGAGAATATTTTGTCCCGGTCCTGTAGGTCCGATATTATCAATTTCCAGTCCTTGTTGAACATTTGTGTTTCGTTGATTCATCAAATTCTGCATTGTAAATGATTGCTGACTTGCCATTCCAGGGGGAACTGTTGAAAAAAAACAAAAAAATTATTAATAATAAAATATTCTTATAAATTAATTAATTAAAACGTAACCCAGTAAAAAAAAACTAATTCAAATGAATTGAAACGAATTAACATTTTTGGTAGGCTCCAATTCGTATTTGTCACAAAGCGGGATTCACTCAAGCTCTTTGTATATTCAATTGAATTTAATTCAATATGTACCAATTTGTCCAAACGAATTCGCATTCGAAAGAAATGGTCAAGGAATGCATTGAATTCGTGCTAACGAATTGAAAAAAATTAAAGGCTCAAAACTTGTCCAGTGAATTGGTACGGATAGAAGGTTCGGAAGTTCAATACAGTTTCACGAATTCAGGAAAATTGCATCATGGCTCCAATTCGTATTTGTCACAAAGCGGGATTCACGAAAGCTCTTTGTGAATTCTTTTTAATTCATTTCAATTAGTTTTCGTTTACTGGGAAGTTAATTTTTTTTATTGTTAAAATATTTTGTTGAAACGAAATTCAAAAAAAATTTATAGGTAAGGAAAAGTAAAGAAACAAGTTTAAGAATGAAAATTTGTTATAGGAAAAAGTGATCTACTAGCTTACATTGTCTTAAAAAATAAATAATAAATAAATAAATAGGTAAGCATTAAAAATGGTTGTTTAAACTGGACGTAACATTAGAAGTAATTTTAAATTTGAATGCAGCATTAAAAAATATTGTTTAAACTGGACGTAACATTAAAAGTATTTTCAAATTTTAATACAGCATTAAAAATTATTGCTTAAACTGAACATAACATTTACAACCATTTTTAATTTGTAATGCAGCATAAAAAAGTATTGTTTAAACTGGACGTAACATTAAAAGTATTTTTAATTTTGAATGCATCATTAAAAAATATTATTTGAACTAGACGTAATATTTACATTTTTTTCTAATTTTGAATGCATCATTGAAAAATATTATTTAAACTAGACGTAACATTAAAAGTATTTATAATTTTGTATGCGTCATTAAAACTATTTTTAATTTTCAATTTAGAATTAAAAAAAGGGTTGTTTAATCTGGACGTAACATTTAAAACTATTTTTAATTTTTATTCCAACACTTCGAATGGTCGTTTAAACTGGACGTAACATTAAATGCATTTTCTATTTTGAATGCATCATTGAAAAATATTATTTAAACTAGACGTAACATTAAAAGTATTTATAATTTTTTATGCGTCATTAAAACTATTTTTAATTTTGAATTCAGAATTTAAAAAAGGGTTGATTAATATAGCTGTAATATTTAAAAAAATTTTGAATTTTAAATGCATCATTAAAAAAGGGTTGTTTAAACTGTACGTAACATTTAAAACTATTTCTAATTTTGAATGCAGCATTTCAAATAATTATTTAAACTTGACGTTAAATTAAATTTTCATTAAGTTTTGAATGCTACATTAAAAAATATTGTTTAAACTGGAAGTAACATTAAAAGTATTTTTAAATTTAAAAGCAGCATTAAAAATATAGTTTAAACTGAATGTAACATTACCCTCCGATGCAGAAATCAATTCTTTTCCATTGAAACAAAGCAAAACAGGAACCCAAACGAGCGGAGATTGTTGATTACCTATTGGACCTCCATTCATTTTTCCATTTTGACCCGATTCGTAGTAATTGTTTATTTTCTGTAAAAATGAAAATTTGTTTCCTAACTTTTATCAATCTTAACAAAATTATTTTGTAACTAAAAAAAAGTACCTTAATGTTTAATGTGAAATAAATGTTAGTCTTTTAGAAATTTTCCATTAGCGTCATAAAGTATTTAAAATATTACAAAAATTCCAAGAATATCGAAAATTAATTAAACATTTATTAAATTCAGAAAGTTTAAAAAATTGTAAATATAAATTTATAATGTGAATGAAAGAATTCTACTTTTTTATAATACCAGATTCTTTTTGTAATTTAAAAATTTTTTTGTTTTAAAATTAAAATTAAAATAAAATATGGAAAAATTTCTAAATCTTTCAAAAATAATTAATTTTCCATTCCATTTACGAAAAAAAAATTTTCTTTACCGTAACGTCCATGGAAGTTGGATCAAATCCCGAAAGTTTCACCATATTCTGATAAAGATCCTTATCAATCAAATTTGCTTTACTCATGTTATTTAAAAAAAACTCGTCATCATTCACCCGCGGTCCAAAAACACCACTCGGCCATAATTCCTGCTGTTGAACATTATTTTCCACAACTTGACAGCAAATTGGATTTTTCACCTCGGGCAATGGAACATTTCCTCCACTCGTTAAACCATTCAGTGAATTTTGAATAATCGTATTACTCGGACCAGTTAATAATGTCAGTAAATTTTGGTCATTTTGACCAAACTGATAATTCAAACCATTGGGAAAATTTTCACCATTCTCCTCAATTTGTGACACAGCACAAGGTTTAGCATTCGGGGTAATTTGACCTTGTCCAGTGGGGTAACCTTGACCACTCGTAAAACCTTGCCCAGTGGGGTAATTTTGACCAATAGAAAAGCTTTGGCCAGTGGGGTAATTTTGACCAATAGAAAAACTTTGCTTAGTGGGGTAATTTTGTCCACTCGTGAAACCTTGCCCAGTGGGGTAATTTTGACCACTTGTAAAACCTTGCCCAATGGGATTATTCTGACCACTTGTAAAACCTTGCCCAATGGGATTATTCTGACCACTAGAAAAACTTTGACCAACAGTAGAAAATTTTTGATCATTCGGGGGAAAATTACTATTAATGACTTGACCACTTTGACCGTAAAAATTCTGATTACTTTGACCGTACATTTGATTTGACTGCGAATTTGTCGTTTGTTGATTGTTCTGAACAAATTGTGAATTCTGACCGCTATTGCTGTAAGCTGGTGGATGTTGACCTTGGCTAATAGTGCCTTGATTATTTTGACCTTGATAATAACTTTGACCAGTTGGAAATTGTCCACTGCCACTGTTTTGATAAATTTTAGTGTTACTTTGATAATTTTGACCACTTTGGTTACTTTGACCACCTTGGAAATTTTGACCTCCTGTGTAACCTTGACCACCTTGGTAATTTTGACCACCTTGGACATTTTGACTTCCTGTGTAACCTTGACCACCTTGGTAATTTTGACCACCTTGGAAATTCTGACCTCCTTGGTAATTTTGACCGCCTTGATAATTTTGACCTCCTTGGTAATTTTGCCCACCTTGATAATTTTGCCCACCCTGGTATTTTTGACCTCCTTGGTAATTTTGACCACCTTGGAAATTCTGACCTCCTTGATGATAATTTTGACCACCTTGACCGACGACATTTTGAAAACTGTAATTTTGCCATGAATTGAATTTTTGACCATAATTATTAATATCCGGACGTTCGGTCGATGGTTTTTCGATAATTGTCATATTTTTTAAAATATACGTAATTTTTGTGCCATTGAGTAATTTTGATGTGTTTGTCTTGACAATATGTATTTCATGATTTCCGTTATTAACATTATTCACCATATCCGAATCGTTGAAATTTGGCGGGAAATTTGAATTAACGCCAATTCCAGGTAGGGGAAGATTGAAACGTTGTGGATTATTATTTTGATTTTCATTGTTATTATAATTATTATTATTATTAAAATTATTGGAATAAACTCGACTATTCGTATTACGTAACCAATCTTGTGTTTCCTCATCATTTGAATTCCTTAAATTTTCCTCGATTATTCGACATTTAACGCACTCTTTAAACTCAAATGAATCAGATGGATCCTCACTATCTGGCGTTAATTTACTGAGAAATTCACTAAGTTCTTCCTCAGTTTTGTCAAAAAGACTATAACCTTTATTATATTGGAGAATAGAGTTTAACAATATTCTACATTTATCGTGTATTTGAAGACAATTTTGTCTAAACATTTTCTCATTATCCGTACTTCGCTTTTTTCGTATTTGTTGTACTTTTGGTAAATTTTTATTATTGCTATTGTCAATGTTGTCATTATAGTTGTAAATAAATTCAAAATCAACTGGAATATTTGAATAATCGACATTATTTGCTTTCTTTTTTTCTGTGAATGGTTCGTTGATTCGTTGAAAATATATTTTCAAATAACTGTCTTCTGTAACAAACAAAATTTACAAAAAAAATGTTATTTTTCTTTTCTAATTTTTGTAAACGACAGGAAATTAAAAATTGTAATTTATTTTATTAATTAAGAAACAAATGAGAACGAAAAAATTAAAAATTAATTAATAAAAATAAATTTGTTTATAAAAAAAATTATTTATTATTAAGAAATAAATTAATTTGCTTCATAAATAAATTAATTTAATTAATTAATTAATTAAATTAATTAATTAAATAAATCAATTAAATAAATTAATTAAATTAATTAATTACTAGAAATAAATTATTAAATAAGAAAAATAACTAATAAGAAAACTAAATTACTAAAATAAGTTAATTAATAAAAAAAAATTAATAAAAAATATTGAACTAATTTGCCCGGTTATTAGTATAATTATTTATTTATCTTAATAATAAAATTAATATTTTTCTGCTTGTTGATAAATACATAATTTTAACACTTACCGGCGATAAGTGCTTTGAAGGCGAAAAATGTTGATAAAAGAAATACAGAGAGGACAATTGTTATAAAAAATGCGTAAAATTTTATTCGTCTTCCAGTTGAAATTTCACGATTACTGTGCATTGGAAGACTCCTGTCGTTTCTAACTGTAAAAAAAATCATTGTTTTTTTTAATCCTCTAATTTTCTTGAAATTAATTATTTCAGAAGTAATTTAATTACTTCTGTAATTAATTTCTTCATTTATATTTTATTTATTTACTAATTTTATAATTATAATTTAATATAAATAAATTATCGACATAAGTAGTTGAATATTATTAAAGAGAAATGAAAAATTATAAAATTTTATAAATTTGTTTTTAAACAATTTAAATATAAATAATTTGTTTTTTATGCATGTAATTGAGTAAATAATTTAGGAAATGTTAATGAATAAATAATGAAAAAAGTATAAATAAAAAATTAAGTCTATAATTGAACAGATAAGTAATTAAGTAGATAAGCCCTTAAGGGCATTTGAACCATGATGACGTCACAGATTTAAAACTAATGCTTTGCACAAACTGTGACGTCATCAAGGTTCAAATCCCCTTAAATCGGAAAATAAATTATCAAATAATTAATTGACTAATTAAATAAATGATTAGATAAATAAGGTAAAGAATTTATCAATAAATTAGATAATTGTAACTTAAAGAACACTTAAATAAACAATTAAGTCAGTAACTAATTAAATAAACCCAAATATAAATAAAAATAAATATCTAAATTGGTAAAAAAATAGATCAATAAATATATATCAATTAATAAATTAATAAATAAATAAATTAATTAATAAACAAATTAATTAATAAATAGGAGGATAAATTGACAATTAAATTGATAAATAGATATGTAATTATATTTTTAAATAAATTATTAAATTAATAGATAAATAAATTGATAAATAAATTGGTAAATAAATAAATAGGTAAACAAAATAAATGGATAAACCAATTTGATAAATAGACAAATAATTAAATTGATAAATAAATTGATAAATAAATAGGTAAACAAAATAAATTTATAAATAAATAGGTAAATAAATTATTAAATAAATAAATAAATAAATAAATAAATGGATAAAAAATAAATAAATTTCTAAATATATAGGTCAATAAAAAGGTAAATAAATAACTGATAAATAAATTGAAAAATAAATAGGTAAACAAATTGATAAATAAATTAATAAATAAATCGGTAAACAAATTAATAAATAAATTAATAAATAAATTGAAAAATAAAAGTATAAAAATAAATTAATGAATAAATGGAAAAACAAATTGATAATTAAATTGATAAATAGACATGTAAATAAATAGGTGAATAAATATGTAAATAATTAGATAAATAAATTGAGAAATAAATAGGTAAATAAATAGTTAAATAAATTGATGAAAAAAATGGTTAAATAAATAGATAAATAAATTAATAAATAAATAATTAGATAAATGAATATATAAATACCTAAATAAATGAATAAACAAATAGGTAAATAAATAATTAATATTGTATTAATAATTGTAAGCATAAAATTATAATTAATTTAATCATTACCGTAATGTAATTCCTGTTGATTTCTGAGTTCATTTGCGTATTCTGAAGACTGTGAACTATTATATCCAGGCTGTGAATTCGACATTGTGCTAAAAATTATTTAAAAAATTTTTTTTTCATTTAATTGCAAAAAAAATTTGTTAAATTTTACAACTTTAAAAAAAAATAATAACAATTTTTGTGTACTTCTTTGCTTTACATTTATTTAAAGATTATTTTCCTCTTTTCTTTTAAATTTTTATTTTTTAAAACACTTAAAATTTTTTATTTCTCACTTTGTTGCTTTTTTTTTAAACAAAAACTTTTTTGTAATTTTTTTTATTTCAAAATTGAAAATATTGAATTTAAAAATACAAAAAATGAAAAAGTACAAAAAAAAAGTAAATTACCATTTCAAAAGAATGCACTTTTAACAATTAAAATTTTTTTTTTAAATCACTGCATCGATTTTCACATTAATTAAACAAATCACAGAACATAAAATTATTTATTAAATTCACACACAAAAAAAAATTAAAAATTGTACAATAAATAATATTACAAGAGATCTTAACACTTGCTTGATTGAAACTGAAATAAATTGAAAAATTCATATATGCGCTCGCAAAGTTGATGGCGTTTACTATTAAATGCATATATCAGCAATAATTTTCAGACACATTGCTCAAAGTGATTTCTTCGCAAAAATGTGTACTAGGTGAATGACATTTCGTTCACGCACCTTGGATGAAAAATTGTCTTGCAAATTTTTCTTTTCTTTTTATTTTATACTTTTAATATGTATTTAATAAATTTCAAGTTTTTCATCTCCGAAGAATTTTAGTAATATTCTTTTTTATTAATGAATATTTAGAAGAATATTTTATTATTTATTATTTTTTATTTAATGAATTTTTCATGCCTTCTTGTAAAATACTAAAAATAAATTTGCAATTTTTTTTTAAATGAAACGAGCAATGGATTTAGGAAAATGGATTTAAATAATTCAATACTAATAATAATTCTAATAGTAATAATACATAATAATAATAATATTAATATTAATAATATTATTAATAATAATAATAATAATAAAATTAATTTTCTCTCGTTTAAAATTATTGTGAATTTTATTTTTAAATATAGCACGTGGGCGTTTTTAATACTTTTTCAGAGTTTTAAAATTTGCTTAAGACTTATTCTCTCAAAATAAAAAAAAAAGTTGTTGATTATAATCCTCTAAATGTGTGTTGAGAAGAAAAGCTTCCCTTCAACGCTAATGGTTATTTTATAGCCAAGACGAGATGAGCTTTCATGTTGCATTTAAAAAGATCAACTGTTCATTGAGTCAGTGTAGAGGAAAAAAAAATTCTTAAAATATCATCAAATGAGACGAGTAAGAAAGAGCGAAAGAAAAAATTGATGTTTAAATTTTTATAAAAACATATTTTATAATTTTTATTAACTTTATTTTATAATTTAAAAAAAAGTAAAACAATATTAATAAAATAATAAATGTGTATAAATAATAAATAATAAATAAATCCTTATTAATAAAATCAGACTTTTGTCTGTACATTGCATAGAATTCAAAATTTCTATTATATTCCTTCTTTTTACACTCTAAGGAATGCGAAAATACTATTAAGAAAATTATGTGTGTATGTGTATATGTGTGTATGTGTGTATGTGTGTATGTATGTCCGCAAATTTTCGACCGCGTATCACGGAAAAACGGTTCGATCGTTTGAAGTGAAACTTGGCAGTTTTTTAGGCATTAGCCTAACTTAAAATCCTAGAGATAGTAGATTAAAAAATATTAATATGGACGAAAGTTATGCCATTTTTTCAAAAATTCGAAAATTCGAAATTTTTAGTTTTTTCATATACTTTAGTGAATTGTACTTAAACTTGGTACAGGGTTAATTTTAGTGTTTCTTATGAAGATTTAATCGTCAGAATAATAAAATTTTGAATAACAAATAAAAAGTGTTAGATTTAAATATTGAAAAATTAAAAAGTTTAAAAATTGAAATTTTTTTGTAATTAATTTTTATACGGTTGTATTTCTTAGGTCAACAATAAAAATTTGTTGTTGAAATCATAAGTTTACTTTCTTAAAAGAATTCTATTAGGTCAGAATATTAACAATATCCATATAATTAATATGAGACTTTTGTCAGTATGTTGCACAGAATTCAAAATTGCTATTATATTTTATTAATTAATGATCAAAAAATGAAAAACTCAAATTTCATTCTGATGACTAAATTGTAATAAAAAATACTAAAATTAACCCTGTATAAAATTTAAGTAAAATTAATGACAATAATTATTTCAAAAGATATATTTTGAATTTTAAAAATTTTGAAAATATATAGCACTAGCTGTCATGTCGTACCCGTCTTCGACGGGTTTTAGTTTCTACCAATACATTTAACAATGTTTCTACCAATCTGGAAAATCAAAAATACCCGGGATAAATTAATTAATAATTAATAATTAATAATTAATAATTAATAATTAATAATTAATAATTAATAATTAATAATTAATAATTAATAATTAATAATTAGTTAATTAATAATAATTAATAATTAGTTAATAATTAATTAATTAATAATTAGTTACCATTAGCTATTTCGGTAGTATAATTATACTATTTGAATAGTCTCCACCCTTTAGCAAAAAATCAAAAATTATCAAAAATTCGAGAAACCGAATTTCTTAAAATTTAACATTTTTTTCTTCTCTTTTATATCATTAAGCTTCATTATTTTTGTACTCTTAAAAAATACTTTACTTATATTTAATAGTCTCCACCCTTTGGTAAAAAATCTAAAATTATGGAAAATTAGCAAAAATTCAAAAAACCGAATTTATTAAAATTCAACATTTTTTCTTCTCTTTTATGGCTTTTGGCTTCATTATTTTTGGGCTCTTCAAAAATACTTTACCTAATTTGTTATCTCCACCCTTTGGTAAAAAATCTAAAATTATGGAAAAATAGCAAAAATGCAAAAAAATGAATTTCTTAAAATTAAACATTTTTCCTTCTTTTTATGGCATTTAGCTTTATTATTTTTGTGCTCTTAAAAAATACTTTACTTATTCAATAGTCTCCACCCTTCGGTAAAAAATCTAAAATTATGGAAAATTATCAAAAATTCAAAAAACCGAATTTCTTAAAATTCAACATTTTTCCTTCTTTTTTATGGCATTTAGCTAATTATTTTTGTTTAATGTAGCAAATTTTTTACTTTACATACTGATCTTTAAATAAAAAACTTTAATAACTTTTCCTGAAAAGCTTGCTTAAAGATTAAAAATCACTATTTTCTTAGAAAAAAGTTGATCTAAAAAAACGAAAAAAAATTTCAAAATACATCTTTTTTAAAAATTTTATCGTAGAAATGGGTTGTATTTATCTGAAAAAGTTAGCTAAGGATAGTTTTTTCATTCATTTTACAAAAGATAAAAAATTTGCATTTTTTTTTTTGAATTTTTTGGAAAAATGTCATAACTTTTGTTCAAGTTAATATTTTTTAATCGGATAAGGCTATGATTGTAAGTTACTTTAATACCTAATAGACTGCCAAATTTCACTTTAATTGGTTGAACCGTTTTCAATTGATGCGCGAACAAAGTTTTGCATACAGACAGAGACAGACAGACAGAAATTTTTTTTACATTTTTAGAATTCTAATGTCTCAAAACGAAAAAATATATAAAAATTTTTAAGTTTGAAGCAATGTACAGATAGTAATCTGATTTTATTAATATAGATAATGTTCGTTCACATTAATAACTTTTAGTTTACTATAGCTACACTAAAAAAAGTTATATGATTCAAGTAATTATAATTATTTGAAAAATAATATCTTATTTAAAAAGTTTTTATTTCGATCTAATAAGAATTTATTTCGTTTAAATAATTTTATTTAGTTGAATCAAATAAATCTTAATTGGATTAATTAAATAAATACTTGACTCTAATAAATGAATTTATTTAACACAAATAATTTCTAAATTTTATATTTTTTCATGGATTGCTTCTAAACTTTCTATAGTTGAGTATTACATGTTATTTAGTCACATTTTAGCATAATTTTTCAAAAATACTTTCTTATAACGAAGATGTAAGTATAAAAATGTTTTGAATATCAAAAAATTGAAAAAATTATAATTGATACCAATTACTAAGAAGCTTAATTCAGTAGTATTTGTGGGCTCTCTGATTTAACTTTTAGAGATATCTTGATCAATGTAAAGACAAAAGTTAAACACGGTGTTTATTTTGGTTTAAAACAATTTCCGGCTTTGTCCAAATTTTTCCTGGTTTACTGGACGGGTTTTTTTTAATAATACATTTAACAGGGTGCTTACCAACCAGAAAAGACGTAAAATATCAGGGAATTTAATGTAACCGAGAAAAACTGGATCTACTTGCTATACAATTAGTTCGAATTAGACTGTACTATAACTCAAAAAACTGGAGGAAATTTTAGATTTATTTTATTACATTATATTGATTGAAGTACTACAAATTGAGAAATATTGTTTTCTGCATTTGAATTAGTTTAAAATAACTAATTTGATAATAAAAAGTCGGTCACTGTTTCAAATGGTATTATTTTCCTAATGAAATAGACAATAGTAACTAATTATTATTTTTTCCCTGTCAAATCAAATTCCCGGCTATTTTTCGGTTTTCTAGGTTGGTAGATACACTGTTAAGTGCATTATCAGAAACTACAACCCGTCGAAGACGGGTACGACAGCTAGTATAATAATATAAATAATAATAACTAAAATTACAATAAATAATTTCATTTATTATTTCACTCATTGAAAATAAAAAAAAAAAAAATTAATATGAACAAATATAAATATAATTATATAACTAAAAAGAATAATAAGAATAATAACAATAATAAAAAATAACAATGAATGTAATAATAAATAAGAAATAAATAATATAAATAAATAAAAAATAAATTATTTACAATAAATAATAATTAATAAAAAGTAAAAAAAATATGAAAAAAATACAAAATAAAAAAAAATTAATTTGAAAGTATTAAATTTATCACACAATTTTTTTTCTGTTATTAATTTACTGAACATTAAGGGCATTTGAACCATGATGACGTCACAGATTTAAAACTAATGCTTTGCACAAACTGTGACGTCATCAAGGTTCAAATCCCCTTAAATAATAATTAAAAAATTATTAACTGAATTATTAAATTAATTAATTTTCAATTCTTTCAAATAATTTTTATACACTCTGTAAATATATAATTGTAAAATTGTGTAATCAAATTTATTAACCGGAAACAAAATTCGTAAGAAAAAAATGCGACTTGACAATTTCACGAAATTTATGAATTAATAATTGAAAACAAGGTCATTTCTGGAATTTCATTCACAATTTTCTCTTTGTCAGCCGTTTAGAAAAAGGAATCGGCACTGGGAGAAAAGTGGGGGGTGATTGAAATTTCAGCAAAAAAGAAAAAATTTTTTTCCTCTAAGTACAACGACCTAAAAAAATAAAAATTATTACATTCTTTTTATAAAATATTAAAACAATTGAAATGATAATGAAAAAAAAATTTCTTCGGAATAATTCATATCACTTATTAAATATTTTAAATATTTATTATTAGAATTTCATTCTCCTTTGAATAAATTTTTTAATTCATATAAAATATATTCTTTATTGAAATAATAAAAATAATTTTTCTAAAAATAAAAATTTATTCATTTTATTATTTAAAGTACTTTTTAAATTTGAATACCTATATTTTTAATAAAAATTTTGTTAAAATATAAAAATTATTTTTTGAGTAAAACTATATTGTGTAAATATAAATATTTTTAGTAAAATAAGTAGAAATACATTTTTTGTAGCCAATTTTTTGTAAATAAAAATTTTTTGCGTACAAATTTTTAGAAGAATGCAAAATTTTTTGAGTAAACTTTTTGTAAATATAACTTTTCTAAACAAAATTTACATTTTGTATGTAATAATAATTACATAAAAAAAATTGTAAATTAATAAAAAATATTAAAAAATTAAAAAAAAAATTTTAAATAATAAAAATGAAAATAAGCATTAAAGAAGAAATATGTTAAACATAAACACACAATAAAAAAAGACAAAATTTTGTTTTATCATTTTTATTCTAGAAACGAGAAAATTGAAAATAATTTTTTTTTCATTTCTTCTGAATGAAAAAATATTTTGTAAAAAAGGTGGGGGGTAACCTATATTTAATTTTTGCATGTGTGTACGTGTTAGTGCAGATCATATGTAAATTAAATTCATTAGTCAGCTAATTGGCAAAAAGATCGCCATCTTATAGTAACAATACAAGTGAAATGGAATTTTTATAATGGCTCTTCGTAAAATTTAACAAATATTTTATGTAAGTTAACATATTATTTTTATGATTTAATTTTATGCTTTTACTTGAAATTTTCTATTTCTCCTACTATTTTTTGCTTCTAGGACAAAAAATTTTTTTTTTCACTTGATTAAAAGAAAATTTTTTTATTCTACAATTTTTTTAATAACAATTAATAAGAAACATAAACTTTTTGTATTAAAGAATGATTTCCGTCGGTTCAAGAAACAAATAAATGAACAAATTTATAATATACAAAAAAGATTAAATATACAAAAATTATAATTAATTATTATTATTATTAATTATTATTTTTTTAATTATTATTATTTTATTATTAATAAAAATATAAATTTACAGACATTTGGAATGATAATTTTATTCATATCATTTTTATTGTTGGCCCAGTCGATTACGATTGGACAATGCCAATTACCAGATTCGCCATGTCCAAAGTATTTTCGCTATTATTATGATAATAAATTTTCCGAAATTATGGGCATTGTTGAAATTCCATCGCCATTACCGAGAAAAGTTCCCTTAATGTTGAGAGTGACTTTTAATTTTCTCTCCATTTTACCCGAGGTGAGTTTCATTCCACTTTGTTATAATTTAAAAAAATAAAATATCAAAAATTATGTTACCCTCCTTTTTAATTTCCATGTATGTAGCTAAAATTCTTTTCATTTTTTATACATTCTTCTTTAATTTATAAAAAGATTAAAATTTTTTTCTTTTTTCTCTCTCGTAAATTCAATGTTTTTTTTTTAAATTTATGCGGAAAGGAAAATGAATTTTAAACGAATGTTAATAATTTAAAAATGAAAATTGTAATTTGAAATAATTTTTTCGATAGCGATAGAATTATGCGCGAGGCGTAAAAAGAAGTGGACAGTGACTCCCCTCCACTTTCTATATTGAGTCGCGCGCAGCGCATGAGAAAAGTGGGGGGAGTGAGTCCCTTCCAATTGGAGCGTCGCGTCGCGTCGCGCGCAGCGCTTGGAAACAGTGGGGACTGCATCCCCTCCACTTTCTAGGAGCCTCGCGCATTCATAACGAATAATAAAACTTTTTCTCTCAATATTTTTACTCGTATTTTTATAAAAATATTTTTTTTTTTAGTAAAACTATGAATAATACAAAATTATATTTATAAGTATATATTTATAGTTATAAATATAATTATAAATATATTTATATTACAAAAAATATATATATGTTTATGTTTATGTTTAAAAAAAATGTTTGTCAAATTCAGTTATCAAAATACTAGTTTAGATTCGTTTTACAAAAAAAAAAGTAGTAAAAATTGATGGTAGAATAAAATATATATTTATTATTAAAGAAGCACAATGGAAGTTTGGAATTTATTAAACCGCAGGACATTTATGCTCCGGTGCAGCAGGCAATCGACGAAGGAAAATCGCTATTTTATCGACTTAGATTCCCTGCACAGCAGCCATTACCATTTCTCAAGGAAATACACTTTAACAATCAACTCATATGTGTTGGCCCTGCAGGTGTCTTTCAAAAAAAAAATATATAAATTTTTCCTCTTACAAATTATTAATTTTTAATAATTACAAATTCTCCAATTAATTATTATTTTGAAAATTATAATTTTGAAATTTGTAATTTTTAAAAAATTGTAATTTTAAAATTTATGTATAATAAGAATATTATATTATTATAGATATTATATTATTATAAATATATTAATATATTATTTTTTAATTTCATTTTATTGTAATAAATAATAATAAATTCTAATTTTCAAAAAAAAATATTTTTATATATTTTTGAAATTATAAAAAAATTTTTTTTTTTAAATATACTTAACTTTGTAGATAAGTGGCCAATTGTAAATGTCATCGACTATACAAAAATTCTCTATCCCCCGGAATTTCTTTTTCGTTTTAATAATCAAATTCCACAAAATAATACTAATAGTTCATTGGCGGGAGAAATAAATGAAAATATAAAAATGGAAAAAAATTGTGGTACATCTAAAGTGAAAAATTTATCAATTCTCTATCTCAATGAAAATGGTGAGAAAACATATCCCGGTCAATGGCCATGGTTAACGGCAATTTTTGTACGTTCAAAAACAACATTTGAATTTAAGTGTACCGGCAGTCTTGTTACACAAAAACATGTAATTTCAGGTAATTTGCATTTTATTTTTTCGAATTTTCTTTTTATTCCATTTCATTTTAATAAATTATTATTTTTCTTCAATAAATTATAATTTCATTTTAATAAATTATTTTTTTTTAATAAATAACGATGTAGTTAAAAAGATTTATTAAAAAAAAAGCATTTTGATCTACATTACCGATTGACGATAAGACATAAGGTCTTATTTGACAGCTGTCGGTAATTTCCAAAAGTTCAGTGGGATCTACATTACCGACTGATGATAAGGCACGAGTTATTATTTACCAGCGGTCGGTAATTGTAGATTACGTTATTATCTTTGGTCATTGCAATTTTTTTTTTTCTTTTCCAGTTGCACATTGTTTCATACAAAATAGAGCAAAAATAGTCGACGAAGTTTATGTTCAACTTGGTAAATATTATCTTGATACTGAAAATGAATTGGAATCATTGGGACGAACAATTTCCGAAATAAGATATCATCCAGATTATATACAAATTCCCTATCCGCATTCTGATTCGGATTTAGCGATTCTCGTTCTAACTGATCCTGTACATTATACAATGAATATTCAACCAATTTGCTTATGGAACGAGCCTAATGATCTCGACAGGATTATTGGAAAATCGGGAATTGTCGTTGGATGGGGAAAATATGGTGAGAATTTTAATGGTGAACCACAGGTGATGAGTGAAAAAATTGTCTCACAGGTAATTTCATTAGAGTTGTAAATATTTGATTTAATATTTCTTCTACAGAACAAAATCACATTTGCAGGGGGGGGGGGGGAATTTTTACTCTTTTAAAAGTTGCGCGCCCTTTGACTCTGAATGGTGGGGAGACGCGCTATCCCCTCCACTCCTAAAAGGCCGCAACGATACAAATTTATATTTTCTTTCTTTTACTTTTAAAATTCTTAATTTTTATAATGAGATATTGTCGAGATTTCCTAAGGATCAATATATACTTATTGTTCCTTGGGATTTATTTTTAAAAATAAATTTTCCTTATTCTTTTTTATATTTAGAAAATTAATTTAATTTTGTTGTAATTTTAGGAGGACTGTTTACGCAGTAATCTTGCGTTTGTTATAATAACATCGAATCGAACATTTTGCGCTGGTAATAGAAATGGTAAAGGTCCATGCAATGGAGATAGCGGAAGTGGTCTGCAAATATTAAATTCTGAAACTGGAAAGTATCATTTACGTGGACTTGTTTCATTGTCTCTTTCTGATAATGAAAGAAAGTCATGTGACTTAAATCAATATGTTGTGTACACTGACCTTGCGAAACATCGTAACTGGATTGAAAATGCAATTTCCGACGACGTTTGATTTATTTTTCATATAATAAATAACGAAAAGTAATAAATTTATTATTTTTATAAATATTTATTATTGTTATTTTACTATTTTATTTATTTTCATATTCGAACTTTTTCATTATTAAGTGCACTAGAATAAATATTTTTAAAAAATTGAAATCTCTGGTAATATTTATTTACACCTTTGTTATAAAAAAAAAAAATTTTATATTTTGAAAAGTCAACTTCCGGTAGATTGAAAAAAATTGATATATTTTAGGAATAAAAAATTATGTTGTGATATTATCGGATTGAAATATTAAATAATAGATTTCATTTTGGAAGATTGATTTTAATTTGCCAGTAGTTTATATGTTTAAATAAAGTATAAAAGTGCACATTGAATGAAACGACATTTGATACGGGAAACAGGAACATTCTCGTAACTTGTTTCGCAAGAGTTAATTTTACGATTTCTTTATAAACTCGGAATTTTTTTTCATTTAGGTCATTGACAATGCGAAAAATAGTTTAGCACAATCTTCTTTTTTCTTTAATTCACATTTTTATTATATACAATAAGCAGAGTATTATTTCGTATTTATATTATTAATAATTTAGAATAAGTTTTTTTAAATATTCTTGAATACTATTAAATATTAATAAAATATTTTTAAAATATTTAAAAAATATTTAAAAAATGTTAATAAAATATTTAAAAATTATTAAAATAAAATATTCTGATACAAGATAAAAATTTTAATTAAAATTTAATGTTTAAGTTAAAGTTAAATTTAATTGAAACTTGTAATCCTCGATTAGGAATTTTTTTCAAATATAAAAAAATTTAATTCTAGGACAATTGAATAACGAATCTGCTCATCGTTAATAGTAACGGTTTAAATTGACATTGCGTAATGACACCCTCTCACTTTCTCCATAGTCATCGACCATCGAATAATCTTCGAAAGTGATAGTTTTAGCATCAACGTTGCGTCGTGTGGTTTGATTTATTTAAAAATTAATTTAATATCGAAAATTTAAAACAATGTGATCTCAACATTGTGCGATAAATTAAGTGAACTTATTTTTTATACAAACATTTTTTTTTTATTAAATCCTTATTAAATTAACTTACCATTAAAAACTATAAACTTTTTCAAAATTAATTAACAGTTTCACTATTATATCGAAAAGATTTTTCCAATTACAAGATACAATTGTTTTAACATTTAACTAAATGTAAAGGAAAAAAATAAAGAGAGTTTAACTTTTTTTGAAATATGAAATTTTTTAAAACTTTTTACAAGAAAAGTATATAACTATAAAAGTAATTTATAATATGGCTAAAATATTGACATTCTCTCAAGAAAGAAGAGGACAAACTTTAATGGGATATTATGATAATGCTTACATAATTATTGTAATTTTCCGATACATATATTAAATAAGAATCGTAAAAGAGGAATTTTTTTTTTACAATTCTAATTTTTAAAGGTGTTGATGGGTATAATGCCAGCTATTGCATTTCATCGGCCATTTAGAAAAAATTTTCAAAGTTTTTGGCTATTACTAAAATCATCATCAGACGATCCAAGACACATGAAATATTCGAGCTTTTTTTCGAAAATGGTACGTATGAACCATTTATGTAACTACAATTTTTTTTTCCTTCTTCTTCTTATATATAATTGAAAAAGAGGTGATAAACTTATACTTGGTTTTTGAATAAGAATTTATTCATTTTAATAAGTTTTATAGATTAACATTATTTTTTTCATCACTTTTTGCATACAATATAAATTTTTAAACCACCACCATCATAATAATCCTACGCACTTGACGCAGATAAATGTAATCATTCCCTTATACCATCATAAATCCCAAACAAAACAGTAAAATTTATCATTTTACAACTCACAAAAATATTAATTATTATTCTGTTTAAATCATTTTTTTTTAATAATTAATTTTCAGTCCTTGAATCAATAATGTCATTGGATCAATTTATAGTCTTTTTTTAAACGAACCCCCAAAATTTATGAAAGACTTCATCATATTTTTAAACCGCTCACAGGTCAATAAAGTAGCAATTATTACCCTAGGGTAATAATGACCACTTTATTGACCTGCTGGGTTGTACGGGCTGTAGTTTCTTCAGAAAAATAATTTTCTCACTCTACCTATATAATTTTTAAAACAATACTTTTCTGTATAATTGTATGTAGTATGTGTTACAGCTTTCAAGAGAGATTATATTTAGAGTAGAAAAATTCGTAAATAATATATATTAAAGCGGACATTCTAAGGTATTTAATTAATTATTCAATTCTTTTAAATATATATATAAAATTTAACGGTTACTAGCAGATTAGAAAAACATTTAAGATAATGCGAAATTAGTATTGTAGACAAATATTTTCGAAACTTGACTTTTCGCATCTAGTTTCCTTATTACATTTTGTCCCAAAAATCACATTTTTCCATTGGATTCATTGGACTATTAATTTCACAATTAAATGCCCTGGCAAAACTTCCTGAATTTGCAACGCTTACTTGAATTTCATAAGGTTTCGTCTCTTCACAATAAATCTGTAAATTTTTCGGTTATAAAAATATTAAATTCCAAAGATTTTATAAACCTTTTTTTATCAATAATTTTAAGGGATTTCTCAAAACTTACAGCTGAATAAGCGATAAAAAATTGTTGTTTTGGAGTGGCATAGCTCAATCTATGAATACTATGATTTCCATTTGGATTTGCATGCAATTCTCGTTTAAATGCCTTGTAAGCTATTTTTAATCCAATACAAGTATCAATTAGATCATCAAAATTGAACATTGAATGATTTCTTAATCTTTTAAAGCAATTTTTTTTGGTGAATAGCGGCTCACTGTATCTACCTTAAAATAATAAAAAAAAAATTTATACTACAAAAATTTTTGGGAAAATATTAATTTCAGTGGTAATGGAAAATTATTACCAAAATGTGAATAAACTTTCAAGTGTAACTTAGATAATTCTCTGCTGATAGCAACTCCAAAATATGCATAATTCCAAGACCTGATGAAATAAAAAATTACAGTATAATTATATTGATATATCATGATGTGAACATATCAATCATCAGCATAATTGATGTTAAGAAAAAAAAATTAAGATATTTCTGATTTAAAGTTCTTACATTGGCAATTGAGGATTAAATAATGGTAAGGTTAATAATTCAGCTAGTGGAACTTCTGTAAATATTAAAATTTTTCGAGTTCTTAAATATTTTTAAATCATGTGAATAAACTTTCATTATTTGTTTCCATCTCACCTAGACGATTATCAGCAACATTATAATTAATGAAAGGAACTAAATGCTGTCCACTTTTTCTTTTTGCAGGTCCAATATATCTTCTAGAAGATAACAAAATTTTAAGTTAAAAAATATTTAGATATTAATAAGTTTTATCAATGTTTGAATATACAAACTATGCTTACTCTTTTAACATCAAACGTCTTCTATACTTTGCAACTTTAAATCGGATATTGGTTCTTGCGAAACTTACCAAATTTACCAAACCAATCATGCCAACAACAAACTGTAATTGAAAAGATTTTTAAATAAACTTTGCTCTATTTTTTGTATGTGATTTGGAATATAAATAATTATTCTTACATTATCAGATACTTCGTACGTTAATGCTTGCTCATATCTTATGTTAATAATTTTTAATTCTAAATTATTAAGTCGAGTCAAGAAAATACCCTTCATTTCATCGTTTAGCCAACTATTTTCCATTTCGTTCTTATATTCAGCAATTATGCTTTGTGACATCTCTTCAATCTGAAATGACAAAAAAGTTTAGTGGAAACTCGAGTACAATATTATTAAAAATGTGTATATTTATTATTACTTATAGTTAATAATTAATTAATTCATTAATTTACCAATGACAGTTGCTTAGAAGCGAAACCTTTGATAATTTTTTCAATATATCCTGATTGAATTGGCATTTGAGAATAGCATCTATTCTATCTGTTGAACAATATGTTACAATAAAATATTAAAAATATATTTTAGAAATAAAGTTGTTATTAAAGAATTATTTAGCATACCTTTCTCTTTCAAACGGATCATTGTGATCATTATACCAAAAATCCATAACCATTGAATTCATTGTACTCATAAAGTGAATCAAATTTGCTGCATAGAAAAAATTAATCAATACCAACTTATGATTTTTGACAAAACTTCAAATTTTATTTTACAAAATTTTATGCAAAAAAGTGTAACTTACCAATCTCTCCGTTACTAAGTCCATTTAAAAAATTTCTTAACCAATAAAAATAATTTAGATCAAAGAGCATCTCGTCATTTTCATTTACATCCATTCCAATGTTACGAAAATGTAGCAGCCAATTGAACTTAAAATATATTTAAAATAATTTTTGTTTTCAAATTTATTTAGATGCAAGCGAAACAATGTTTAAATACTTACATTAATATTAGAAGCATTGTTGAAGATATTTGAAAAACTTGCAATAGACATCTGGCTGCAGACTGAATTATTATCAAGAACGTTCTAGAAATAAAAATGTTTCAATATTAAAAAATAAGTATATTAAATTTTGATAAATAAAGATAATCCTTAAATTTAAAAATAATAATTTACTTGATTATTTAATGCCCTGACTGATCTAAACAATTTATCTTTTATTTCCCTTCTAATAGCCATTGGAAACTCATTTTCAAATGCATTAAAAAATGTATTTAATAAAAAAGCTAATCTGGTCGAAAAATTCCCCATTGACATCGTGCTTAAAGGTCTTCTTATCTGAGAATTATAAAATTTTATAAACAAAATTAGAATAGTTTTAAATTAGAGTCTATTTAAAAAATTTTTTATACTTGAAAATCTAATAATGCGATGATAAAATATTTCCTACAATTAAATAATCATCATCGTGAAGTACAACTTCAAAAAATGGACTAAAACCCAATTCAGTAGCATAGGTATCAGCAACTGTTTGCCAAGGCATTGAATCTAGAAAAATAATTCTATTTATCTATGGTAAAAATTTTGTAAAATTAAAAAAAAAAAATTATTTTTTGGAGAGATTTCGTTAAAGGTTTTTCTTATGTTATGATAGAAATTTTCATACCAATGGGACTTCTAGGAAATTGAATTTTTCCAGCTGCTGACATTATTCTCTTCAATATAGCCAAACTCTTTCTCCGGGAGTCATCTAAAATCATAGATCATTATTGTCAATAAATTTCTCATAAGTCTTTATAAATTACACTTTTAGTGTAAAAATTTATTAGTCTATCTTACATTTTCCAAGGCACGCTTTGAACCAAATTTTCTCCATAAAAAGAGGATCAGTGTTCCCTATTTCAAACGAGTCAGACGTATAATGTGGATTATGAAAAATTGATACATAGCTCAAAATTCCTGTAAATACGACATTGAAATGTTTATAATTTTTAAAATCACAAACTTTTACCAATTTTATTAATTTTGAATTTTTCAATAAAATTTAGGTATACCGAATTAAATTTAAAAAAAATTCAAATTCAAATTCAAAATTATTTAATTAATAATTAACCATAAATAAAAAAAAAGAAATTGTGACTTGTAAAATTTAATTTAATTTTACAGCGTCACAAACTTTATGCTTGAAGAACTATCATAAAATTATTACTCATAACTTATTTGATAAATAATTTTACTTGAAAATTCCAAAAATAATTAAATTTTATGTGAGTTGGATTTACAATTTTTATAAATAATTCAACTTGAAAAGGTTTCAATATAAATTTCTAGGAAATTTCAATTTTGAAAGAATTTAATTAGAAATTTTAAAGAACTTAGTTTTTTGAAAAAATTTTAACAATTCAAGTCCTAAAATTAGTTAAATTTTGAAAAATATATATCTAGATATTTAATTAATTATTAAAAATAATGATTTTCTCGAAGAATTTCAATCAAAAACTATAAGAAAAAAAAAATTGAATTTTGGAATAGTTACAATTAATACTAATTTTTAGAAAAAAAATCAATTTTAAAAAGATTTCAAATTTAAATCTTTGGAAATTTTAAATTTTTCATACATTTAATTGATTATTCTGTGGAACTAAATTTTTTAATAAATTTTAATTTCAATTCTCTTGAAATAAGTTGATTTTTGTATATATTTAATATAATTTCAAAGAATTCAATTATCTTGATAAATATCATAATTCTCTTCAAATATTCAATTATTTTTAGGAATTTAAATAAAATTTTTTGCAAAACTCAATTATTTTTATGAATAATATTCATCACATCAAAAATTTTAACGCAATTTTCCTTGAAGGAATTCAGTTATCTTGATAGATATGAAAATTTTTCTTAAAAATTCAATTACTGTTAAAGAATTTTAATAAAATTCTTTGCAAAATTCAATTTTTAAAAATTTTTTGAATTATACAAAATTTTTCTAAATTTGTAATATATTATTTTGAAACTGAAAATGAAACTGAAAATTATTTTAATATATTTTTTTATTGCGACTAATACATTTTTTAAATTAAATAACCTATAAATACTTATGATAATATTATTCATCATCAAATTTTTTTATGCCCTACGAAACATACTTACGAGTTGTGTAACATTTTAAACAAAAATCAATTTTTAATATTAGAATTTAAAAATATAATTACTTTTTTCCAAAATGCAAAAAAAAAACAGAAAAAATATTTTGATAAAAAGTAAGAGATTAAAAATGAAAGTTATCTTTTTTTTTATAGCTAATAAAAAATTTTACTGTAGCAGCAATATTTTTGAAAGAAAAACAAATTTTATTTTTTAAATAATTGTCTATTCTAGAAAAAAAACCTTTATCAAAAATTTTATTAACATTTGAAAATTTTTTCAAGAAGATAAAAATTTTAGTTGATTTTTTCAAATTGCAGAAATTTTTCCAATAAGATAAAAAGTTTTACTTTGTTTTAAAATTGATAAATTCAATCGAATATCAGTTTTTTTAAAAATAATTTCAATTTAAATAATAAAATAATATACTTTTATTTGTATGTAAAATTAAAAAAAATTTTTCTTCATATACTTTTAACAAATTATGTTTTATTTAGATTTCATTTTAATAGACAATAAGAATAATTATAAAAATTAACTTACCCGTTGCAGTCAGTTTAATAAATTCTTTTGCACGATGTAGATATCTACGTTTAAAGCTTATAGCATCTGTTGTCGTTAAAAAGCAAGCATGTGATGTAAAGTCATTACAAGGATCTGCATTTTCATTTATTGATTGTTGCAAAAAGTCATCTGAATAAAAAATATTTAATTACTTTTATATTATAAATACCTTTATTACTTACTGAATACTACAATAATTAACATTTTTTAAAGAAAACAAAAAAATTACTCACCAATTCTTGGAAGACCTACAAAGTTAGGTAAACCGACAACTGATTTTAATACAAAGTATAGAAAATAAAGTATCACTACTTTCATTTTTGATTAACGATTTTAATTCCTTCGAGGAACGTCAAATTTATGCCATCAAAACTCAGAGTGAACTGAATGCAAATATTAAAAAAAAACCTTTATATATATATTTTTATCACAAAATAAGCCTATTCCTTTTTTTCAATTTTAAACCATTTTTATTATCCAAAAAACATTATGAAAAAAAAAAAATAAAAAATATTTTTTAAATTAAAATTTATATCAATTTTTCACCATTTTTATTATTTAACGAAATCACATATTTTCAATACAATTATATATGTACCGATATTTTATGTTTTTGTTTACAAAAATTTTCATATATCGTGACTTCTGATAAAAAATACATATTTTATGAGAAATAATTAAAAAAAATTTTATTTTAATTATCATATTTTCATCATCATATTTTAATTATCATATTTCTAAAAAATTTTTCTTTTTATTACAGAAAATATGGATTAAATTTCACTACTTTAAACATAAGTTTTCAAAAAATTGTCTGGTGAAATTCACCCGGGAAATGAATTTTAATAAAATTTTTAGATTAATATAAGACTGCGTTTTTTATTAATTTTAACGAAAATCGTATCTTTCTTTCCTGGCATAATACAACTTACATCATCTCTTTCAAAACATTTTTAAACCTTTTCCTTAATTTCAGTTGCAATAGATTTCCCTAAAATTATTTAAAAGAGATAAATAATTAAAATCGTCTCTTTTAAAATTAGAAAAACAAATAAGAAAATAAACAAAATAAAATAAGACTTTTAATAACATTCATATTTGCCACATTCTAATCGTATATACTGTTTAACCAAATGTTTTAATGTTTTAGCAAAATGCCCAGTTGTATTCATAATTTTTTCGACATTTGAACATTTGAATTTGTCATTAATCTATTATTAATGACAAATTCAAATCGTAATCAAATTCATTTTAAAATATATTTTAAAAATTACATTTTAATCCAATATCTTACATCAGAGTCATTGCTATACAAATGAATGAATCAGTTGAGTAATCAGAATGATCTTCAGATAAAAAGTCTTCTTTTGCTGCATAAAAATATCGTTACCATTACATTTTATATTTAATAATTAAATTAATAATAAAATTGACAGTTTACTATTGACACTTCCCCCCCCCTCAATTCGTATTCTACAATCATAGCAAATAACAGATTGATTAACCACGAAACATTTTTTTTTGCTTGTTGGAGGAAGTTTGTTAAACAGTTCTTTAACAAAACAAGTTTTTGTTTGAAAACTTTTCTTTAAATATTAAACTGTTATAACTATCTTGTAGGGTATTTAGAAATACATCGATTTATCCAAAATTTAATCACTTTTACTTATTTATAAAAACTTATTCATGTATTTCGATAATTCTCTGCTGATCGCAACTCCAAAATATGCATAATTCCAAGCTCTAATTCAGTAAAAAAAATGGAAATTAAAATATTTTTGTCCTTTTAAATTCACATATATTATTCATATGTTTTGTCCGTAGATCTCAAACAGTTGAATATTTAAAAATATTTAATATTTATTATAAAATATTAAAAAAATTTGGGAGTAAGGTATTTACTGTTTCATTTTTACATATTTTATTTTTTCTAAATGAATTCATTAAGAAGATTGAAGTTAAAAAATCAAGTCGTTTGGAGAAAATTAATTTAATTATATCAAAGCATGAAATATTTTTAATATTTCTTATCACATGGAAAAAATGAAATTTTACTGCAAAGGAATTATAGTGCAATTTTTTTTTTTTATTAAAATGTAAAAAATATTAGAATTGAAGAACTTTTTATTAACTGTTAACAGAGTTTTATTTTAGTAGCAATATTTTTGAAATCAAAAGAAATTTTTTTTAAACATACTTACTTAAAAATATTTTATCTTTTCAAGTATAAAATTGTGAAAACTTGTTCAAGAAGATGAAAAATTTAATTTTCTTTTTAATTTTATTCATTTTCAACGAATTGAAAAGTAGTTTTTAAAAATATTTTTTTAAACTTCATTTTATATGTATATGTTACCGGTAAAACCCGAAGTCCAGGCATTTCGCGAAATGCCTAGGCAAATCGGGAAATACCTAAAAGTGGCCAGGAAATTCGAGTTTTACCTAGAAATTTTAGGCATTTCTCAAATTGCCTAGGCATTTCGCGAAATACCTAGTCATTTCGCGAAATGCCAAAGTCGATTTAGGCAAATTGAAAAGTTGATCATTCAAAGCCGCATACTAATGTAAACAGATTGTTTACAAAATTATTTGTCTATTATCGAACAGCAATTAGTAATCGACAGCTGTCTATCAGTTTGAGTGATTGTTCGCTCGTGTTCACAGTGTTTTTTTCGATCGCTTGCGCGTAAATATTTAAATATGTCTAACGATAACGTGAGAGAAAATTGGCAAAACGATTTTTTCAGTGCATTAAAAAATTCACAAAATTATAAAATATTACTCGAGGAAGAATACGACGAGATACTAAAAGATATGCATGAAGTGAAGTTGAACGGACCCAAAACTAGTCGGCAATATAGACGAATAAAAAGGTACGATATATTAGAAGTTGCTGGTGTATCAAAATTAATTGCCAAGTGCAATGATGGGGAAATAAAATATTATGTTCCTCTCGAAAAAATGTTCAATATTTTGGAAGCATCACATATTGCTACTGGTCATGGAGGTCGCGACAGAATGTTGGACTTTCTAATGTTAACAAAAAACAAAAGTATAAATAAAAGACAACTTCAGAGTATGAGGGACAGAAAAAGTGAAAGAATGAAAGAACATTCAAATTAATATAGTTAATTATAGAAAAATAAAAAAAATAAAATAAATAATAAATATAATAATATTATATTATTATTATTATTTTTTATATTATTTATGTAATATAATATTATTTAATATAATTTTTAATAGTTGTTATATTAGGAATTTATTTATTCTTATTTATATTTTTTAACAGATTGCTTATCAACTTTTGGACATTTTCCTGACATTCGGCGCTCCTGTTATTCTTCAATCCGACAATGGTCGAGAGTTTGTTAACCGTATTATAACTGAATTGGCATCAATGTGGCCAGAACTAAAAATAGTTCATGGAAAACCTAGACATAGCCAGAGTCAAGGGTCTGTGGAAAGAGCAAACCAGGATATAGAAAACATGCTCGCTGTTTGGATGAGAGAAAATAAAACCACTAAATGGTCCGCAGGTTTAAAATTCATTCAATTTATGAAGAACAGGTCTTTGCATTCTGGTATTAAACAATCACCTTACAAGGCTATGTTTGGCTTTGATCCTAAAGTAGGACTTTCTACCACTAAATTACCCAGCGAAGTCGTACAAAATATTCAGACCGAAGATGATCTGCGCAGTGTCTTAGGCAATAATGGATCATATGAAGATACGACTCAACAATCAATTTTTAATGTGGAAGATTCAAATGATTCTCCAAAAGAAAATCAACCTTTGGCTTCAAATGTGGAAGACTTAAATAATTCTCGACAAGAAAATCAACCTTCGGCTTCAAATGTGGAAGACTTAAATAATTCTCGACAAGAAAACATTTTTTCAGCCAGGAAGCGAGCAGCAGAAGGACTCGAACTTCAAGCAAAGAGAATGAAAATATCTTCCGATAAAAGTCATCGTCCAGTTGAAGTTGGAGATAATGTCACAATCCCGATACCAGATGTTGACAAGGCCAAAAGCGATTTCAGAAATGTAATTGGTGTGGTTTTAGAGAAAAAAGACGAGCTCCATAGGATTGGAACGAGACAAGGAATTATAAACAGATTATACTGCAGGTCTGTTGGCTTTACATTTTCTTTTACTTAATTTGCAGATATGACTTATTAATTTAATATTTTTATTTACAGGTCCGAATTTGACAAATGTAAGGCATCCTTTATTGACGAGCAAGACGTTCCACAAGATGAAACAATTTCCTTGCGAAGTATAGCGACTCAGGAATCTAATACTAATGGACAAGGATTTACCCGCTGCCACTGTCAGACATCCTGCAAAACAAAAAGATGCTTATGCAGGAAAAAAGGGCTACTTTGTAATTCGAAGTGTCACAGTAGTTCGACATGCTGCAACAAATAACCAGCAAAAAATATATACAATTAATTACACAATACACATATACACAATTAATTTTTTAATAACTTTTTCAATTTGCCTAAATCGACTTCGGCATTTCGCGAAATGCCTAGGAAATTCACGAAAATGCCTAGGCAATTCGGAAAATACCTAAGAATGGCCAGGAAATTCGAGTAATACCTGAGATTTTAGGTATTTCCCGATTTGCCTAGGCATTTCGCGAAATGCCTGGACTTCGGGTTTTACCGGTAACATATACATATAAAAAAATACATATATAAAAAAAATTTTTTTTTTTTTTTACATATTCAGGGTATCTAACAGTGATTGAGAAAATAATTTCCTGAATTTTCCATGACTTCTTCCCTGACTTTTTACTAATTTTATTTCTGCTTATATCAAAAAACCAAATTTCTTAAAATTCAACATTTTTTCTTCTCTTTTATGGGATTTAGCTTCATTATTTTTGTGCTTTTGGAAAATACTTTACTTATTTAATAGTCTCGACTCTTTGGTAAAAAATCAAAAATTATTAAAAATTATCAAAAATTCAAAAAACCGAATTTCTTAAAATTCAACATTTTTTCTTCTGTTTTATGTCATTTAGCTTCATTATTTTTGGGCTTTTGAAAAATACTTTACTTATTTAAAAGTCTAGACTCATTGGTAAAAAATGAAAAATTATTAAAAATTATCAAAAATTCGAAAAACCGAATTTCTTAAAATTCAACATTTTTCCTTCTCTTTTATGGCATCTAGCGTCATTATTTTTGGGCTCTTAAAAACACTTTACTTATTTCCGCAGGGTGTCTAACAAGGATTGAGAAAATTATTCTCTGACTTTTTCCCTGACTTTTTACTAATTTTATTTCTGATTTCTTGGGACAAAAATATGGTAACCGACATATTTAACAATAAATTAATATCTAATCATAGAAACAAACGATAATAAAAATCTTCTAAGATTTGTTAGATTAAAAAAAATTTTTATTCACAAAAATTTTAATTTTTGTATAAATTTTTAGAAATTTCCCTGACTTTCAATGAAATTCTCTGACATTCCCTGACTTTTCCATGACTTTTCCCTGACCAAAAAAAATTCCCTGACTTTTCCCTGACTTCCCTGACCGTTAGACACCCTTTTAAAAATATTATTTTTTAAATTTCACTTCTAATGTACTTTTTAGAAAATTATGAAAATATTTTATCAAATTATATATTTTTTCAATTTTATTTGATGGAAATTAATTTATTTATAAACAATAATTTCTCTTTTGACTATTAATAAATAGAAAATTTGAAAATATTAACGAAAGGAATGTTACGAAATTTTATTAAGGCATTTTGAAAAATGAAAAACAAAACTATAACTATTTTTATGATGAAAATATTTTTAATTTTAAAAAATTTGTATTGTCAGAAAATAATTTTTTTTTTCATTTTAATGTATATATATCTTTCATGTTTCTCGATTTATCGGTCTTTAGTTCGTGTCTCTTGATAAGAGAAAAATTGTTTAAAGAATAATTTAAAAATTTTTTTAACGTTTTTAACTGTTTCCATTTTATGTCAATCTAATCTAAATGTAACAAAAATCTTATTTTTTAATAATTTGACCAACCTTCAATATGCCTGAAAGTAGCCTATAAAACTTTCAACCACAAAAAATTATGACCTCTATATAAATTTAATTTTAATTTAAAAATGAAAAAAAAAATAAAGAATAATTGCTTTCAGTGAATCATCTAAACGAATGAAAATTTGATAATAAAAAAATACACATAAATTAATTTTTGAAATTCTCATAATTTAATATAAACATCAAATAATATTTTTATATAAATATAAATGTGACGCGCTCTGAAGAAATGGTACCGAAGAAGCCAATGATTTTAAGTTTATGTTTGTATTATTTTTATCTAATTAAAAGTTTCCTACTGTGTTTAATTTAAAACTGTAATCAGCTTTTATTAATTATCAATTAATTAGTATCAATTAATTAATTATCAGTAATCCCTCACAGCACCGGGATATTCAGGATATCCCAGAGACGTCCTGGGGATATCGATTTGTTTTCGGAAGTTTGGATATCTCTGGGATATCCTAGGGACGTCCATGGATATCCAGAGGATAATCCAGGGATATCCAAACTTCCGAAAACAAATCGATATCCCCAGGACGTCTCTGGGATATCCTGAATATCCCGGTGCTGTGAGGGATTTATCTTGAGACTTGATCCCTTTTCTGTATTTTTAATATAAAAATTTCAAACATAACCTACAATTTTTTGCTTCTTATTTTAGATACCTTTCTTCGGAGTGCATCACAAATATAAATATAAATACAAATATAAAATATACATTACATAATATAATATTAAATAATAAATATTAAAATAATTAAATAAAAATTAAGAAATATTTTTTTATTAATTTTTCTCATAAACGAAAATTGAAAAAATCGCTTTAAAATATTAAATAATTTATTTTAAGGGGGGGAATCATAATAGAAGGTTGTATTTCAAATATTATTATTTTAAGAAATTTTTTTCAAAAGGAATACAAATGTTTTAAGTTCAATCATAAAAATTATTTTTTATTAATATTTCAGAAAAATTTTACAATTTTTTGTAGTCTAAAATTTAAAAATTACTATTTGTTTAATTGCAAGACGCTGAGCCTATGGATTTTTTTTGCATATTGGCGTAAAAATCTGCAATTCACAAAATTTATATCTGAAAATAAAAAGAAAATTTTTGCAATAATAAAAGTAAAAATTCTTTTTAATTTTTACGAAATAACAATAAAAATAACATATTTTTAATAATTCTGTATTAATTCTGTATTTAATTATTCTATATATTAAAAATTTTTGTCTCTTGTTAATAATGTGTGAGAAGAATAATTTATAAAAAAAAAACAATATATAAATTCAAAATATTAAGAATATGTAGGAAAAAAAAGATTTAGATTGTTATATTATAATGTTCTAGGAAAATAAAATTTTCAGGAAATGCAAGGAAACAAAGAATTCTATTTAAAACTCGAGGTACTCTCTGTTGTTGACGTTCAATTATAAACAATATTGATGACTCAGTATTACGCTTCTGTACATGAATATTTTATACACTAATTTATTTTACACTTTTATTTTGATTCAAATTTATTTTTTTATTATTTATTTAGTATTTATTGCTATAAGTATTTATTTGTTATTATTCATTTGTTGTTACTTGTTTATTAATATTTATTATAATATATTTATTTATTGTTATTATTTTTTTATTATTTATTTATTTTTTTATTATTTATTTATTTTTTTTATTTATTTATCAGTATTTACTTATTTTTATATAGAATGTAGAAGACAAATTTTTTCCTTCAATTCTTTTATATTTAAAAAAAAAACTTTTTTTAATTTTTTTTTTTATTTTAATCTTTTTTAAAAAAATATACAATGGATCAGAAAAAGAAAAAAATATTTCCTGCTTCCCCCCTCCTTTATATTGCAACTGGACGTGTCACGGCATATAGTATATAGATGATAGGAAAAAAACTCAGGCAGCAACTATTTGAAATCATCTGAAAATTAATATTGTCAGACCAGTCACGTTTTGTATAACTTTACATCTCATGTGTCCTCATATTTTTAGTGCCTCATTCTTTCTTTTTTTCATTCTTTTCAAAAACTGAAAAATTCACAACAACCTTGAACGTATAATTGACGAAAAAAAAATAAGAGATGAAGTCGTAAATAAAAAGTGGCTAATTTTTTTTTTTGCATGAGAATTTTTTTTTTTGGCAAAGGTGAAAGTGAATACATTTATAAATACTACTGTGGATGGTAGAAAAAATTATGTCATACACGAAAGTTTTGTTCAGTCGTGTGTGAATTTTGTAAACGTATTTTTAAGATAAAAATGAATATTAAATAACAGTTTCAAACATTTTTATTCTTAAAATTAATCTTTAAATAATTAATCTTAATCTTTAAATTTTTATTCTTTTGTTCGAGAATTTTTTTTTATTATTTACTTATTATTTTATTATTTTATTATTTACTTTATTTTTTTGTTCAATGAAAAAGTGCAATTTACAAGCATCTAGAATTTTTCTAAAATTGTTTCTATTATTGTATAATTAATTTTTTTTTCATTAAAAAATTATAACCTACCCTCCTTATTTTTGGTGTAAGAATACAAGATATTTAAAAAAAGAAACTATAATTGGTAACAAAATAATAATTATTTTTGCTAACTTTTTCCACATTTGATATTAATAATTAATTATATTGAAGATGCATTTAATCAATTATTATGAAAAAATTATAATTATTGTAAACTATTTTTTAAAAGAATTCTTATTATTATTTAGCAGCAATAAAAAATATGTATATAATAAAATTATATAAAATTTTAATCATTTAAAAAAAATTGTTTACTTACAAAAATTTATAAATAATAATAATAACAGATGTCAGGAGAAGACAAAAACTTAAAAAAAGAGAAATATATAAAAGTACATATAAATATTATATTTAAAAAAAAGTGAAAAAATGTAAAAATTTAAAAGTAAAATTTATCATAACGAAAGTAAAATTTTTTGTTTTGAATATCAATAGAGAAAGGCGAATGTTAGAAGCAAACAAGAAAAAATTCTATCTCTCTCTCTCTCTCCCTCTAGGAATACTTCTGTCTCTTTCTATTGGACGATCTCTCATTCTTATACTGTTGAGTGACTCTCTCAAGTTAGTCCAATGTATGAGCAGGGAGATTGAGCTTGTGGTCCAGATTATGAGATGCGAGTGTTAAAAAGTGTTCACGTGTTGTATATTATAAAAAGTAAAGTATTTAAAAAAGAAAATTAATGGGGAAAAATGTGATAGAAAAATAATGCAAGGGTGAAGAAAGAAGAGATATTGTTTTTTTTTTCTTGTAAAAGGAAGAAAGAAAGAAAGAAAGAAAGGAATAATAATAATTTTATAAAGTGATATTGCTTTTTAGTATTATTGTGGATTATAGTTGCGATACATTAAAACTTAGTGTGTGTGTGTATGTTGCATTTAGTTGACGTTTGATTCAGCGAAGGAATGTAATCAGGTGTTCCAATTATACCATAAAGGAAATTGTTCTCTTTTGTGTGTTGAAACATCAACGACAGGTTGGCATTCTTTTTTTTGTTCTCTTCTTTATTTTAAAAATAATAATTGATACTTTTTAATGCTTTTTTTACAGATTAGTGTATTTATAGGTTATATTTTGATACTTTTATATTTATATATTTATATATATTATAAATATTTTTATATTTATATATGCGACTCGATTCCAAGAATGGTACCTGAAAAGCGAACGAATTGTAGGTTATGTTTGCCTTACATTTATCTTGATTAAAACTTCTATTATAATTATGCAAATTTGAAACTAGTTCATATTGAAAATTTTAGATGCAATAAGGACTTGAACATCAATAATTTGTAACCGTAATTGACTCTCTTTTTGTACTTTTACTTCAAAATGGTAAACATAACCTGAAATTCTGTTCTTCTTTGGTACCTTTCTTTAGAGATCATCATATATTTAAATTTTTAAATAATATTAATAATAAATATAATATAATATAATATAATATAATATAATATAATATAATATAATATAATATAATATAATATAATATAATATAATATAATATAATATAATATAATATAATATAATATAATATAATATAATATAATATAATATAATATAATAAATCAATACAAATAATATTACTTTATGTTCTTTTATATTGCTTCATTACTTATTATTTACTTATTATTAAATATTTACTACTCCCGTTATTGATAAGTTTAATTTATTCTGTATAAACATACAAATGGAATATGAAATGAACCTTTTGTAATAACGGGAATGGTTAAGTAATAATAAATAATAAATAAATTATGCAAGATGCAGTACAGTAATTACTCGTTAATATTTATACTATTTGTCTTAAAAGGTAAATTGCAGTGAATGTTAGTAAAAATCCTCGCGGTAATGTATAAAGTGCATGGAAGTGACCTAAATAAAATTCTCGTCGTTAAATGACAGATAATTATTTGCGAAATTTTTATTTGTTACACTGTTATAAAAAAAACTATCATTATCGATCGCTATTCCTTTTAAAAAGTATACTATTACCACAGTGGTTCATATATATATTAATGACTTTACAATTGTTGCAATTTTTCCTTTTTTTAAAATTATTTTGAATTTTAAATTTCAAATAATAACGAACATGTACTAGACTATATTACTATTAAAAGATTTTTAGATTTCTATATGGAAACATTTCATGTTGATTTTTATCAAGAATGCAGCAAAAACTCGATAAAATGTTATTTCTTTTGTGCAATTTAAAAAATTTCCAATAAAAAATTTGAAAAATATTTAAATGTATTGGATATTTTAGTATACGGCATTTAAATTTTACGTTTTTAATATAAAAAAAAAATTTACCTTTCGCTACTTTGAAAACAGTTATATTTTTGTCGTTAGTGTATATAATTTAATTTTTTAATTTTATAGTCTCCATAGATAGTTTACCACAAACGTATAATTGAAAGTCATTAAACATGGTTTCACGTCTTCATTTATTGATTTTCTCCTATTAATCGTTCTAAACAATAATAAAGGTTTTGTGTTTATTTTTTTATACAATATCGTTAAGTTTCCAGCAACTTTCATCCTATATAATTAGAAAATTTTATATTTTTAAGAAACTTAGCAAAAGTCTGCAGATAATATTTTACTATCGAGATCATCGTAAACGATTTTAATTATAAAAAAACGCAGTTCCAATTATGTTCTCTTCAACTATAATAGAAAAGCAAATTAAAAATTTTAAAAATAGAAAAGAATTAAAAATTGTTATTAATTTAGTAGCTAAAATAAACGCGCGTCCAGAGATATATTAAGGACATCCTAAGGATATCCAATTTAAATTAATTACTAATTTTTAATCTTTACAATGTCTTCTTTATTTTTCGCTTCGTATTTCAAAATGCTCTTCATCTGAGACAAGGAACGAAACTGATGTGATACATTTAGAAATTAATAAATTTTTCCAAACTCCAAAGATATACGTTTGTTTATAAACCTAATATTCTCGAAAAGAGTCTCCAATCAATAAATAGACAACATAATTATTAATTCTCCGAATTGCCATTTGACATAATTTTCAAACCTTCGAAATATTATATGTTAAATAAATTTCATTTTTCTAAATTATATTTGCCAGAATTTTCATTCATTCGAATATTTAAATGATATAATACACATTCACCCGAATTCTCATGTGACATATTATAATCTTTAAATCTTCGAAATATTATTTTTCAGAAATATTAATTTATAGAAATTTTATTTGTTATAATTTTCATTCATTCGAATAACCATTTAATATAAAATTTATTTGTTCGAAATTCCATTTGACATAATTTTTAAATTTCTGAACTACTTTTTAACCTATAATGCAAGTCACAGAAATTTCATTTGTCTTTCTATTTTTTTGTTCTTAAATATTTTCAAATATCTTGTATTCTTACACCAAAATAAGGAGTGTACTGATAAAACAAATTTAGTCCAGTCAAATTAGCACTTTTAGACTTTTTTATCTCAGGACCGCAATTTTTTTTTTTTTGCTTAAACCCTTCATTTTGGGGTCAAAATAAAGTGCCTAAATTTGGTACTTCGAACTCCGTCGGGAAGGCAAAAATTTTTTTTTTTGCAAAATAGGTGCAAAAAATCAGTTTTTTTTAAAAATTACCGCTTTCCATTACATTTTAGGGGTAAAAGGAGTTAGTATAAACAAGAAAGTGTATAAAATTCTGAGCAATTTACAAAAAAAGTGAACCTTGTAGCTCAAAAATTGACCGAGATATGCCCTCCGCAAAAAAAACCCGTTTTTTTTCGTGATTTTAGCCAACATTCGCTATTTTTCAGTTTTTTCAGAACTACTTCTAAAATAATGATTTTTTTTAAAAAATGACCAACAGAGGACTTAAAGCTGACTAAATTCCTGACAATTTGCGACAAAGAAAAACAAAATAAGCTTTAATAGTTTTAGAGATACAGTCTCTCAAAGTTGACCCTTTTTGAGATTAAATTGCAAAAAATTCTGTTTTTCGCAAATAAATATAAGTTTTTGTTATGTTTATAATCTAAGCATACAAACTTAATTAAACATGATTAAATTATGTGTGGATGAACTGTAAAATAAACAAACCACTTCAAAATACATGACCGTTTAATAGTTAAACTTGAATTAATTTTACACAAAATAAAAATCAATTTTAACTGACTCAATGAATTAAACGATAATTTATGAATTAAACGGTCTATTTTTCAAGGTAATCGGTATCACTTGCAAGCGACCTCTTGGTGAATGGTTTAAGAGTCATTTAACGAAATCTATATAGAGAGTCGATAATGTCACTATACATCGTCGGTATACAGAAGTGAGCTGTCATACCATAGGTAGTATTATCATACTCAAGAAATCGTTTATTCGACATTCTGTTAGTGCAGAAAAATAAAGTCTTGTATTATTTATTTGTAAATAAAAAGTAGACTAAATTGTTTTGCAAACTATCAATTTGTTATTTATTGTCCATACATGTATTATTAATTTTACAGTCAATTATTATTGTGCTCGATAACAAAATGTTATGTTAAATATATAAAATCCGTCATCATAAGATACATATGACTAAAATAGTGAAAAATTCACATTGTACTCTGCATTTAAATTAGTAAAATCTTTACTAATTTGAATTAGTAACTTTTTGCTTTCAGATTAGTAAATTTTACTAATAAATAATAATTTTCAATAATTAATTAGTAAATTTTACTAATAAACCGTAATTTCCACTAATTAATTAGTAAATTTTACTAATAAACCGTAATTTCCACTAATTAATTAGTAAAATTTACTAATTCAAAAGCAAAAAGTCAGTTTCTAATTCAAATTATTAAACAATTTTACAAATTCAAATTTAGAGGGTAAATTTTAACTAAAAGTAAAACAACTAGTAAAATAGACTATAAGTATAAAGTAGTAAAATCAATTTCACATTGTGAATTCACATTTTTTTAAGGATTCATTGGACTACCAATTCTACAGTTAAATGCCTTACGAAAACTTTTTAAATTCATCATGACCGTATTAAGACCTCCACTATGCTTATCATTATTTCGTTCTTTATAAATCAGGCTATCACAATAGATCTAAAATTTTAGAGAATGTCAAATTAGTGTCAAATATTTAATTTCTGCCCAATTCTCTTTTAATTTAAAAATACTTACAGCAGCATAAGTGATGAAGAATTGTTGCTTTTGATTGAAGTCATTCATTCCTATTATGTTATTATATTTTTTTGTTTTTTTCTTGATTTCATTTTTGAAAACTTTATAAGCTAATTTTAATCCCATATTATTATCACTTAAGAAATTTTTTCCCCTATATATTAAAGGATACATTTGCTCAAGAGCTTGAGATATTTTTAGGGCTATTGCAGATCCAAAATATGCATAATTCCAAGCCCTGATAAAATAAAAATTAAAATCCATTTAGTATCTGTATGATAACGAGAAAGAAGTTGAAAAAATAATTTAATTTTAAATTAATTTACACTGGTGCGTCAATGTTAAACAATGCTGAATATAATTGCCAAATCGGAATTCCTGAAATATAAAAAATCTTACATTCCTAATATTCATTGTAAAAAATGCATTTTTACCTATGATTTTTATAATTTAAAGTTTATAATTTTTTAATTTAATTTAAAAATTTAATTTGATAATTTAATTTGAAAATTTAATTTCAATAATCATTTTTCCTGCACGTGGTTTTTTTTACTTACTTATGAAACGATTATTTTTATCAAACTTGACGATTGGTTCTATCTGTCTTTTATTTCTTCGTGGCTTGTAACTCCTAAAATATAATCCATTTTAAAAAATGATATATAATATTATAATATATGAAAATATTGTCAATATTATAATATTAATATATAATTGTACAAAAAATAACATAAAAATTTATCCTTACAGAAAATGCATCAATCTAGTTCTATAATGATTCACTTTGAACTTGCTTTGGGCTTTTCCAAAATTCATAACATTTTCCAAACCGCATAACCCAACATCAAACTGTAATGTATAAAAATATATTTTTCTAATTATATTTATAAAAATATATAAACATTTTTTAAAAATAATTCTTACCTTATAGGATACAGTTTCGGATGCTAGCCATTTAAATCCATTTTCTGTATCAGTTGTTCCTATTTGTAATTTACTCAATTGATTTAATAATATTTCTTTTAAATCAACATTTTTCAAACTTTTTATTTCCCTTCGAAATTCTATGACGATATTATCAAACATTTGTTGTAGCTAATAAAAGAAAAGAGAAAATTTTATAAAAGTAATGATTAAGTCATTTTATACATAAATTTTTAGGTATGAAATTATTTAAAAATTGTGACTTAAAAGTTTTGAATATAATTTTACTAAATTTTACAAATTTTTAAATAATTTTTAGATTTTCTATTAACTTTGAATTAAGTTTTCAATTGTTCAGTTGTTGATTTAGATTAATATTATACTAACATATTCAATTGTATTCTGTAAATGAACAGTGATAACTTCTGCATTAATTCCTTCCTTAATTGGCATATTCTGAATACATGCCGCAGATCTATTGAAGAAAATTGAAAAATATAATAAAATGGTGTGAGGAAATATTATTTTTAAGAATATTTTAATACTTACCTACGTTCATCCACTGAGAGAAGATCGCCTCTATACCAATAAATAAAAGTCAACGAATTCATTGTATACATAAAGTGAATATAATTTGCTGTTAAAAAAGAAATTATTAAATTAAATTTAAATAGTTTATGTTTAAACGGTTGAATAAGTAACGAGTATACTGAGTAGGAGAAGTGACCTCCCACAACAGATGGTAGAAAGATAGTGGTGGGGGGGGGGCCGCTTCGCCGAGTCACTTGTTCCATTTTGTTTTCTTTAAATATTATTAAAAATATAATTATTTAAATTACCAATCTCTATGCTTGAACGACGTTGTAATATGTGACGTAGACCAATAAAATAATTCCAGTCAAATTTCAATTTATCATCATTTCTTAAATCCATATCCATTTCTTGAAAAAGTTTAAGCCAATCGATCTGAAATTATTTTCAAAAAAAAAAAAAAAAAATGTTAACCTAGTAAATTATGTACCTATGTGTTTAATAATATTTACCTTATAATTTTCATTTAATATTTCATTATAGAAATTCGAAAATCCTTCAATAGTGTAAAATTTGTGTCCAATGCTTTCTTGATTAGTATACTAAAATTTAAAAATATATTAATATCGTATACATAATTACTTTTTGTAATAATTTCCAATTCCTTTAATTCTTTTTTGTTATAATTACAAATTATTAATGTGTAAATGAGTTTCACCTCTAAGATTTCGTCTATTAAATTCCTTAATGATTTTTTCGTTTTTTTAAGTATCGTTTCATTACTATTGCTAAGCTCTTCACTAGAAAAATAAAGAAAAAATTCTTCAATTGCATTTGATATGTAATATCTGGACATTTGAAATATACTCCACTGTAACGGTTTGCCAATCTGTAATTATATATTAATTTAAAATAAAAATTGTTTTGTGTATTTATGAAATTAACTGTACAGTGAAAAAATTTCTTACTCTCAATAAAACAACATTCTCTTCATAAACAACATTAAATAATGGACAAGTACCAAAAATTTTTGCATACATGCTTGCAACATTTTGCCAACGCATCACAGGTTCTGGAAAATTATGTTTTTTATTCTTTTTTCAAATTTTTAGCTAACGGTCAAATTTTTTATTTTTAATTTTTACAAATTAAAGGTTCATACCAATATTTATTGGTAAAACACCTCCAGTTTCATTTACCATCAATTTTAAAATTTGAAAACTTTGTTCAGCCGAACCTATCAGTAAAAACATTAAAATAAATAGACAACTTTTTACATCGATAATTGAAGGGTGGCATGACAAAAGGGGTCAAGCAACAATTTCATGTTTTTACAGGAATCGAAAATAACACATTTAAAAATTTTTCTGATCATTAAAGAAAAATCTAAAAAAACAGTTTAGAGATATTATTTCGTTTTACCAGTAGAAATACAATTTATGAAGATAAACCTACATATTAGAGAGAAAAATATGTAAAAGTGGACCATTTTGGGGTTACGTCAAATGTGCATATTTTCTTATAAAATTAATTGTTAAAAAAATATACAGTTTAAAGAAAAACTGAAAAATTAGTTTTTTAATATTGAATTAACGAATTGAATGCAAAAAAGTTTGCTTCAAAAAAACTGTTTGTTTTCAAGAAAATTGTTAGTTAAATGTTAACTTTTGAAAGTAAACAGTACATAAATTTTCAAAAACAAACTACAAACAGGAATATTTAAAAATTAACAAAAGAATAATATTTAAATTATTGAAAATTAGGTAAAGAATAAAACTATTTCTAAATAGACAAAAAAAAATTCAGCGAAATTTAATATATATTAAATTATATAAAAAAGAAAGCAATATTTTTAACCATATTAACCTATTCATAATAATATTCATTTCTTTTGTTTTTAACCGAATTGCATTGTAAGTAAAAATTTAGGCTATTTTTTATTCTTATTTTTATTAAAAACGAGTTTAAAAAACAATTTACAAAAAAAATACTTTTACAGAACTGTGTAAATGAATTTACTTGATTTTTTTATGAAAAAATCTCAATTTCGAAAAATTGTTGCTTGACCCCTTTTGTCATGCCACCCTTCAATTATTTTTTTCCTTTCTTAAAAAAGATAATATATATATAAAATAAAGTATTGTGTGAAATTAATAATGCATTTACTTTCATTAAGACATGCGTTGTACCACTTTTTTTCCTTATTTAACAGAAGATTTATTGTTGATGCGTCTAAGGAGTTCAATGGTTCCTGCAATATACCTTTAGGAAGAATTAAAAAAAAAAAATGAATGCATTGTAATTGACTTTGTAAAATTAAGAAAAACATATGTTTTATTGTTTATTGTTAAAAAGAATTTAATGAAAAAATTTACCTTGTATTACTTTAAAAACAGTGTGCTGGGCAAATTTCTTGTTATCTAATTTTAAAAGGTTATAATCTCTGGTTCGATTACCGCAGACGTATGATTGAAAATCATTACAGGGTTCCACTCTTTTATCTATTGATTCTTTCACCAAATTTTCTGAATGAAATAAATATTTCATATTATCGATAATTAATTTTTATTCTCAGAAAGATAAATAAATATTTACCAAATCTTGGTAACATTGGTAAACCAGAATGACCGTTAACAAATTCATACAGACAACTATAAAGCATTAATTTATAATTTATTAGGAATATTCTTCTATTGCCATATTAATAATGAAAAGTTGAAAATTAAAGAAAATATTTTTTTAAATACTCACAGCAACTTATACAGAAGAAAATACAATTTTGCTCTTTCCATCTTTGAAAAAATTTTTTTTTCGTCTTCTCAGAGATTTAAATTGAACTTACGTTGTCGAAATTTCACAGTAAACTGTACGCAAATATATTGTAAAAGAAATAAAATGCTAAAAAATTTTATTAACTGATAAACTTTTTTTGATTTTATTAAATTTTTCAAGATACGTTTAAACTCGATAACTAGTTTTAAAAAAAAAACAATACATTTTTTTTATTTTATTTTTAAAATTGCTGAAATGAAAATTGTTTTTTAATGCCAATATTTATTTTATCTTTCATGTACATATTGTAATAAACTTTTCTATCGTGATTTTTTGTTTGAAAAATAAATTTAATATTTTGTCTTATAAAAATTTACTACTCTCATTTTTATAGAAGACGAAAATCGTGGAACAGAAAATGTAATCTCTTAATATTTTGAAAAACATTTGAATCTATTTCGAATATTATTTATAAAACGAAAAAATGTTTTACTCATCAACTTAGTACTAAAAAATTTATTTATTTCTTCTCATACATTTTTTAAACAAAGAATATTTCATACTTTTTGTTATCTACAATTTTTTTAATAAAAATTTTATTTTTCTTATGTCGAAATAAAATTGTAAAATGAAAAAATAGTAACACATTTCAATTTTGTAATGAAATATTTTTTTTATTTATATATAAACATTTTTATATATATATACATGTATTGACAAATTTTTTTAAATTTCTCTATTAGTTCAGTAATTTTGTAGACAATTTTTTAAATATCCATCCACCACCATATACAAAATATTTATATTTAAAAAATTGATATCAATCTTAATAATAATAATAATAGTAATAACATTAAAACAATACATAAATTTTATCATTTTTCACACATTTTAAAAACGTTGACAAGACCTTAGTTTTAATCCAATAAATCGCATCTTTCTAAAGATTTAGTAAAACTGTCTTTATCACAATTAAATATAGTGGAAAATTCTTTTAAATTTTCTACAGCCATAATCACTCTTATGTCATTTGGTAGATGTGTATCTAAACTTTTATAAACCCTCAAAGGTTGTTGACAAAATTGCTATATAGGAAATATGTTAAGATAAAATAGAATATACTTTTTATTTTTAAAATAAAAGGTACCATAGAAATAAGAATCACTTTCTTTTTATTACTTACGGTAGCAAAAGAGGTGAAAAATAGTTTATTTTCATTTAACTCATTAAAATACGGTAATCTTTGATTTTTTATTTCTGCCTTGTCTTTCAGCAATTTTTTAAATGCTTTATAAGCAATTTTTAATCCAACCGAATCGGCAACAATTTCCTTCATCATTTGTCTTTGTGCCCTTAAAACTTCGTTATTTGTAGATCTGATTTGAAATCGCTGAAAATATGAAATTTAATGAATAAAGTTGCTGAGGAATAGTTTCTACTTTTCGTATATGTTTAAATGTTTAAAAACTTTTAAAATTCGGTTTTATGTATGTATTTTTAAATTAATTTACCCCAAATTTGTTGACCTGTTTAGCGTAACATTTAAAGTGATTGTAAATTGAAGGATTTATTGCTGCAAATTAAATAGAAAGTTAAGATTTCATGATTAATTATTATTTTAATTAATAAATTTTACTTTACTTTACTTACTATCATTATCAGAACTGTGGATATTATCAAATACGTGGGACAATTCATGACCAATAAAAAAAGCCAAATGTCCATAATTCCAAGAACTTGAAATAAAATATTTTTCATAAATACTTAACTTGATTTAATAATCAATTTTTTTTTGCAAGTGATGAAAAAAAAATTGAATTAAAAATTGCATGTATATTTTTAGCTAGTTAAGTACAATTTTGTTAATAGAATATAGTTATGATTAAACAACTTACATCGGTGCATCATTACTGAACAGGTTTGTGAGAAGATGCTCGGCTACAATTTCTTTAAAAAAAAATGTAGTTGTAAGATATTTTTTCCAGCATAAGGAAAGAAATTTTGTCATTATAAGTTCGCCTTTTTTCTCTCTTTTCTTGATAATTATTTAGAAACAAAATAATATAATTACAATTGACCTTAAAACAAAAAGAATCAATAAAAAAAACTGCTGTCAATTTTTATCAAAAAGTCACTTGTAAAACTTTATAACAGTACGCGTATTAAGAAGCAGGTACTGAAGTCGTAGTTACGGTCCTGGTGACCGTCCGCAGCTAAAATGCGCACGCACCGCCCCTCCAGCCGGCGACAACTATTCCCCCTCCCTTGCACTGCCTATAGAGTATAAAAGCCAGCGACAGGCACCGGACTAGCGCATATGCAGCAGTTCCACCGTGAAGAAAAGATATATACTCTTAACCGTCACTGAAAACGGAGAAAATAGAATTTTATAAGTTTACATACCGAGCTTATTATGCTTTTTACTGTCAGATGAGTTCAGATGTAAATCTCGTTTCTTTCTTCTGAAAATTTATTAATTGTATAGATTTTCGTTCTCAATTACAAAAATTCAAAGATATTTACTAATTTCACTTACATTTCGTGTGATGTAGCAGAAACTTGAGTACCGTAATATTGTTGCTTATATTTTTCTACTTTAAATTTCAATTGAGCTTTATTAAAATTTATCAAGTTTTCCAAACCGCAGGAAGAAATCTCAAACTGCAAAAAAATTTTTGCACAATTAAATCCTAAATTATAATAAAACTATGAAAAAAAAGAAATATTAGAATATTATAATCAAATTTTATAATTTAAATTAAATTATTTTTCATTCTTCAAAATTATGTTACTTTTGATAAAAATTACTGAATTAAATATATACCTCGTAACTTATTTCGTTTGCCATTAAATTTTTTCTATTTGCATAAATTCCCGGCAATTGAAATTCTATATTTCTCAGTTGCCCTAGAGTATAAATTTTATCATCTTTTCGTAGCTTACTATTTTTTATTTTCCTTTCCAATGTTTCGTACACATTTTCATAAACTCGTTTAAACTATAAGAAAATGATTTAAGAAACATTTTTTAAAATTATATTTTCAGATACTTCAATTCAAATGTCTATAAAAGTATTTTATTTCTATTTTTCAAATCATTTTCGTTCGAGGGAAATTAAAAAGAAAAATTTTTGTTACTTTTCCAATGTTACTTACAAATGAAACTTTTTCTTGTAAATGATTTTGTATAATTTCTTCTACCACACCCATTTTAATAGGCATTTCCTTTAAACATTTAGTGGATCTTTAAGAAAAAGAATAAAGTATTTAATAATAGGATTCAAAGCGAAATTTGAAAAAATTAAATACAAACAATTAATTTAAAATACATACAATATGTTATTGGGAAGAGCAGGAAAAAATTGGTTCCAATACGTTATAATGTCATCATTCATTATATACATAAAGTGAATAAATTTTGCTAAAAAAGTAAATTAGAAATTAAAAAAATGAAATTAGTAGTAAAAATGAAATTATTTGGAATAAGGGAAACATATTTCCAAGTGACTCGGTTTTTAAGTTTTTGTAATTACCTTGAATCCTAGGCTCGTTATAAAAAATAATAGAAATTATTGCATCTAAAAATACTGGATTAAATTCAATTTCCATTCGATCATCACTATTTAGATTGATTCCCATAGCTTTGAAATAATTAAGCCAATTAATATTAGCCATCTGTAAAAAGTTTGTTTCTTAAAGTATAAAAAATATTTTCAAAAATATTCGGAAAATAAAATTTGTTTCTTTCTGATTACTTACTGGTGTAAAAACTTCTAAATCATTGAACTTTTTTTGAATCTTTCTAATTGTTGTGATACTAGTTATATGTAACATTTTACTTACTTCCTAAAATGATAAAATTAATAAGTAAGCATAAATAATAATTGAAAAATACAACTTTGAATTTGTCTTCATTTTATAATAAACCACATACTTGTCTATAATTGTATAACAAAAATATTAAATCATTCTCTAAATACGTTTCCTCCGGTGTAAAATACATGTCCAAGAATTGAATTTTTTCATGGACAAATTTATTAAACATTTCGTCTGACACAGTTGTGAGCATTCGGGAAAGTTTGCTAGGTTTGACAACCTATTTATTAAGGAAAAAACGAATTTTTTTAGAATTTAGAAAAAAATTTATTTACAGTTTAATTCTTATTTTTTTTGTAATCTCACTTTAATCATATGTTCCTCATTAAGTTCAATGTCGAAAAAAATACTCTGACCAAAAATTTGTGTATAATGTAAAGAAATTTCTGTCCATTTTTGCAATCTTAGACTACTTTCGTAAATTTCTTTTAATCGTTGAAAGCCATTTGCACTTGAAATATCTAAAAGAATAGATATTTTAATTAAAAGTCTATTTTTAATACTAATTTTCATTCAATTTTTCATTCAATTTGATATTTACTTTGACGCACGCAGACTTTGTACCATTTTTTCTCCATTGACAATTTAATGCTGTCGGTATCACTCTCTGGTTGTTGCAAAATATCTAAATGATATGTTCTCTATTTAAATTACCACTTAGTTAATAGAGCAAGCAAAAAAAAAAAAAAACTAAAAAATTTCTACCTTTTGCTATCGGATCCATTTTTTCCCGAGCACTTTGAAAGAAATCTATTTTTCGATTTTGGAAATTCCATAAACCACAAATATGTTGATAATAATTATCGCATGGATTTGTCGCGTTGTCCATTCCATTTTTTATCAATTGAACTAATTAAAATTATTTCGAAAACAAAATTTATTATTTTGTAATTTATTTTCAAAAAATTTATTTTTTTGTTCAACACATAAGATCACTATATTATGTGTTGAACAAAAAAAAATAAATTACTATCCAAGTGGGGAACCTCGCGGATTTTTTCTATCAATCTTGTACTTCGATAAAAACTGATACTCTAGTGAATTTTTAAGTTTGGAATAATATAATAATTGATGGCTACTATTATCATCATTGCTATACAATTATTAAACGTAACGGTCCCTGTGGGGGACGTTAGGAACTCCGGACGGGCATAGATGGCGCCAGATGATAATAAAATATCGATATTGTTAATAAAAGAAAATTCTGCTACTCACCAATTTCTTGCACGTCAGCATCAATGTAAACAAACAACGATGCAATTCTAGAAATTCGTTAATTGGCAAAATAATCATTATTTTAGTTGTAAATTTAATCCAAACTGTAAAATATAATACTTACACTAATTTTACCATCAAAGAGTAAATTTTATTTCCCTTCATTTCTTCGAATTGAAATTTTTTTCTTCGATTCTTGAATTATAAACGAATGGATGATTTTCAGTGTAACTCTTTGGACTTTGAAACAAATTTTTGTACCGCATATTTATAATTGTTTCATATCTGCAAGTTTAGTCATGAAATAATAAAAACATATTGTTTTCCAAATTCGATGGTTTTTTTTATTATTTTACTCTTCATATTTCTATCTGTATTTTTTTTTATCTCTTTTTCATGTTTTTGTGATTTATTGTTAAAAAATAATGAAAAAGAGAGAAACCCTAGAATATCCCAATAATATCCGTATTGGATATATTCATTTTTTCAATTTATATGAAAAATCTTCTTGATAATCCGACGTATGTAATTCTATTTTTGCCGATGATGTAAATTATTTTTTAATTCTTAAATCTATCTCATCTTTATTTTGAATATTATATAAACGAACAAATGTTTTACGCATCAAATAAAAATGTATTTTTTTCCTCTAATATTATTTTTAAAAAAATTATTTCTGCCTTTTTTATTAGCTACAATTTTTTTTCATGAAAGTTTTACTTTTTTTATGTCGAAATAAAATTGCAAAATGAAAAAATAATTTGTATATAACACATTTTAATACGTTGTAATGGAATATTTTTTATTTTATATTAATATGTATACTCGTGTGTATATAGATATTTACATGCATATGTATATATTAACATTTATTTTTTATATTTGAGGCATTCCATGTCAAGTGATCCGGGTGGAGAAAAATTTTTCTCCAATCGTAGCAAAACTTGGGGCTTTTGTAGTACTAATAGATAGTAATTTTTCGTGAAAATATTTTTTTACCTAGTCCAATATTTTCCGAGGGGGAGGGGGTTAAATTTTTGGGTTTTTCAGTACAATGCTTATTTCGATAATTTTTTACTCTTAAACTATTAAACATAAAAATTTGGCAAGGTACATTTTGGAAAGGTTTTTTCATGCTCTTTCGATTGAAAATAAGCATTTAAAAAAAAAAAATTTTTTTGACCCAAGAAAATCAAAATTAAAAATAAATTTTAATTTTTTGGAAAAAAGGTCCCATTTTTTTTTTTTTTTTTTTTTTTTAACGAAAGCTGAGGTTTTTTCCTAAAAGGACATATAAATGAAAAAGTGGGACAAGAATGTTTAAACATTGAAAAAATGAATTTTCTCGTAAACAGAGCTAAAAACCGGGTTTAGAGAGTAGAAACCTCTGTTTTTCAATGTTTAAACATTCTTGTCCCACTTTTTCATTTATATGTCCTTTTAGGAAAAAACCTCAGCTTTCGTTTAAAAAAAAAAAAAAAAAAAAAATGGGACCTTTTTTCCAAAAAATTAAAATTTATTTTTAATTTTGATTTTTTTGGGTCAAAAAATTTTTTTTTTTTTAAATGCTTATTTTCAATCGAAAGAGCATGAAAAAACCTTTCCAAAATGTACCTTGCCAAATTTTTATGTTTAATAGTTTAAGAGTAAAAAATTATCGAAATAAGCATTACACCGTAAGACACCTGGATCACTTGACATGGAATGCCTCATTTATATACAAACTTTTGAAAATGAAAAAGTACTTTCCTAACATTTTTGATATTTTGTTATTCAACACTTTTTAGAGAATATTGAATTTCAATTTAAAATGAAAGTCTAATATTGTTTACAAAATGTGAAGCAAATGAAATTGTTAGAATTTTATTCTTACTTTATTAATATAATTTCAAAATTAACTATTTTACCGAAAAAATATAATATTTTTTCATTCTAGCGATACATTGTAAAACAATACATTCCAGTAGATTTTGCAAGTAGTAAGTGTCAAGTTTCAAGAAGAAACTTGATTGTAGTACTAAAATTATGTTTTTCTAGAAATTTATAAATAAAAATTTCCAATAGTTTTATTTATTATTCGACGTTTGCAACTATTTTAGTTGGAAAAATATCAAACTGTCTGAAACATTAAATATTTTCAAATTTATAAACTATATATCTGCATTAAGAATAAAATATTTAATCATCAATATTTTTTAATCAAGTTTAATATATGCATTTAAAATTAATTGTAATTAATGATTAAAAAAATAGTTTATTTAAAAAATGACAATTTTGTTTTTATTTAAAAAATATCGTTCATAACAAAATATTGTCGTTACTTGGTTTTAATGATTACAAATATATACGTGTATTTAGATTAGATAACAAAAAGTAGAGTGTTAATCATTGTTTTTATATTTTTCACTTGACTTTTGTATAAACTAGAAATAACAGTTTAATCAGTAAAGTGTTAATCATTGTTTTTATATTTTTCACTTGACTTTTGTATAAACTAGAAATAACAGTTTAATTTTTCTTTAAAATATTTTCTTTTATTTCTTACAGTAAGTACGTGGAAAAAATTTTACAGTGATTGAATGGATTCGTTGAGAGTTCCATACACAGGACAATGTGGACTAATCAAGATATTCATCGCTCTTATTATTCTACCAACTGCATTTACAGCTTACAGTATTGGTGTTGGAATTGCTGACACCACGGGACCAACGGCGGAAGTTGTATTTGTAAGTATTTTGGAAAGAAAATTTTTTATTATTTTACTATTCCTACTGTTACTACTACAACAACAACAACAACAACAACAACTATTATTATTATTATATAGTTGATTTTTTCTTCATATTCATATCACAATCATTAATTTTTCAATATTGCTTTTGTTTCAATTTAGTTTACAATTTGTAAACTTGTAATTATAATAAGTATTTTATAATTTATTTCATTGAATTTTTCAGATGGGATATGCGTCTATCAAGCAGAAAGGCACGGGCCTTCATTTACGAACTTTCTCACGAGCATTCATTATCGACGATGGCGAGGAAAGATTTGTTTTTGTCAGTGTAGATAGTGCCATGATAAGTTATGGAGTTAAGAAGGAGGTAAATTTTGTTTACATCTATTTTTCTGTCCAAACAATTTGTATTTTTCCTTTTTACTTATTTATCCATCAAAATTAATTATATGGGTACTTCAAGCTTGCATTCGTTCTATTTATAACACAGGTCAACAAAAAAAGGACTTACTTTTTTTTATGAGATATCGGAATGGTTTCGGATGTATTTTTGGACGCTGAACACGATCCCGACTTCCAAAATTGCCCATCACGTCAGGATTTTGAGAAAAGTGGGGGTAAAGATCCCAAAAACGCTTTTTTAAGGATTTTCAACATTTTTTTTTCTCTTTAACCTGACTTCCACAAGGTCTTAAATTAAAGCTTGTAATGTGCACTACAAGACCCATATCAATAAAATAAAAAAAAATTAAAAGCTTTTTCAAAAAATGGGGTTGAAGACACCAAAAAGGTGTGTTTTTGGATTGCTTTAATAGACTTCATGCAATTGCTTGGATTCGCTTGAAAATTGTTACTCGGGGTTTTTGGAGTCGTTGATTACAAATCCGAAATTAATTTTCAAAAATTGAACATGGAGGAACCAAGATGGCAGATGTAAAAATTAAGAATTGCTTGGATTCGCTTGAAAGTTTGTTACTCCAGGGTTTTTGGAGTCGTTGATTACGAATTTGCCATTTTGAATTTTTGAAAACTAATATCGGATTCGTAATCAGTGATCCCAAAAACCCTTAGTAACCATTTTCAATCGAATCCAAGCAATTCCAAGAAGTCTATTAAAGCAATCCAAAAACACACTTTTTTTTTAGTGTCTTCAACCCTATTTTTTGAAAAAGCTTTTAATTTTTTTTATTTTATGGATATGGGTCTTGTAGTGAACATTACAAGCTTTAATTTAAGACCTTGTGAAAGTCTCTAGCACGTCAGGTTAAAAAGAAAAAAAAATGTTGAAAATCCTCAAAAAAGCGTTTTTGGGATCTTTATCCCCACTTTTCTCAAAATCCTGACATGATGGGCAATTTTGGAAGATGGGATCGTGTTCAGCGTCCAAAAATACATCGGAAACCATGCCAATATCTCATAAAAAAAAATAAGTCTTTTTTTGTTGACCTGTGTAATTTATCTAAATTTGAGCATGTCACGGACATAGAGTTAAATCATTATTGCTGAATGTCGCTACTAGAAAGACAATACAAAATTTGTACAATGCAAAGATCTTTCAGGATTCGAGGAGCGAGATTAATAATTTATTGGTAACTCGCTGACAAATTATTGGAAACTCCGTATCGAGCTCGATTCCTTAGATTAGATTCCACTTCTGATGAAATTCTTCCTCATAGAGGAACTTCTACCGATCATGATAGAAGTTCTGCTTTTCTTATTTTTTTTTTTGCCTCGTGTCTTAGTTAGACTTTCTGTATGAGCGACGTTAGACTTTTAAGTCCATCCTGAATTGTCATGTTGACATTCTTCTGAACCTCACAAAATTTCATCTCTTTGCTGTGTGACGCTGTAAAATTAATTATTAATTTTACAACTCATAAACTCATTTAAATCATTGAATAATAATTTGTTTAATTTTCTATTAATTTTATTTCAATTCTGAGGTTGCAACGGATATCACGGTCATGTGATATATTTCTTCTAACCATTCTTTGAATTTCTTCTAATCTACGGCCCAAGGATATTTATTATTTATTTTGGAGATGACTTAATGAATTGTTGTGTTTTATGCCTTTCTGCATTAAATTTACTCACAATTTTAGATTTTTATTATTTTTGAGATGATTCAATGGATTGTTGCAGATTGTTGTGTTTATGCCTTTCTGCATTGGATTTCACACATTTCATTAAATTATTTTACAACCTTGGTAGAATTTACTGAGCCTATTTCGTCTCCTATACGCGAAGCTCCTATGCCGATGGCTCATTTAAATCGTTATACGAATTTGGTGCTAAGAAATACGACATTCCCCAAATGTCATTTGACCGAACTTTCATTTTACCGAATTGAATTTATCCGAACAGTTATTTTAACAAAATGTCACTTTTATGAATCACCATTTTTACGAATTGTCGCTTTTGCGAAAAGTCATTTTTGCGAATTGTCATTTATGCGAACTGACATTTTTTCGAATTGTCATTTCCACGAATTGTCATTTTTACGAATCGCTATTTTTACAAATTGCCACTTTTACGAAATATCATTTTTACGAATTGTCATTTATGCGAACTGACATTTTTTCGAATTGTCATATATATATATATTAAATAAATTCGTAAATATAATAAATAAATATATATATATATATATATATATATATGCATACAAGTTTACTACAGCAATTTTTGCAAAAATGACAATTCGCAACAGTGACAATTAGTTAAAAATGACAATTCGAAAAAATGACATTTCGCAAAAGTGACAATTCCTAAAAATGTCAATTCGTAAAAATGATATTTCGCAAAAATGTCAATTTGTAAGAATGGCGTTTCAGAAAAGTGACATTTCGTTAAATTAACAGTTTGGATAAATGCAATTCGGTAAAATGACAGTTCGGTCAAATGATATTTATCGAATAATCATGCGCCTCAATTCCAGAATTGGGGCCTAAATTCATGTTATTACTTTCCTGACTATTTTTGGATGTTTTGAGTTTGTTGAAGTATTATTTACATATAGATATTAATAATTATATATAAGTATTATTTTAATTAATGTTAATTTTGGACTAATTGTATATATGAATTTTGTAATTTGAAAATATTTAATTAAAATTGTGATTATTTTATATAAATTTTGTGATTTAATTAATTCTTATTTTGGATAATTAGTCAGCCCCATTTCAGAAAAGAAAAAAAAAACACTGTAACTAATTAAATTTGTTTCTTACAATTTGCAGATTATTGAAAGACTGAAACTAAAATTCGGTGACTTGTACACCGAAGGGAATGTTATGATTAGTGGAACACATACACATTCATCGCCAGGAGGTTTTATGATGGATGTACTTTTTGATCTCACTATATTTGGATTCGTTAAGCAAACCTTTTTTGCACTAGTCAATGGAATCACAAATGTAAGTTTCATTCGTTTTTTGTTCTGTTCTCTTCTATAGTCAATAAACAATTTGTCTATATAATATAATTATTTTAAATATGCAATAAAAAACAATTTTTTTAGAGTATTGAAAGTGCCCATAATGCAGTAGTACCTGGAAGGATATTAATATCACAAGGCGAAATTTTAGGAGCGAATATCAATAGAAGTCCACAGGCGTACATGAATAATCCAGAGTCTGAGAGAGAAAAGTAAGAATTAGAATTTTGTAATTGAATACTATCTAGAGACAGTTGTACATTGTGTAAAATTTATTAATAAGTAATTGGAAATAATTTACAATAAAAGGATACAATTAGGATATGGACGAGATGTTTTTATGTTGTCCTGGGAAGTCAAGTACTATGAGGGATGTTTGTACAAAATAGGAAACGAATATTTTCGCTAACGAGGAAAAATTTTTAATTTTGTAGGTATCAGCATGATGTAGATAAGACAATGACCCAGCTTCATTTAATTGGTGCTAATAATCAACCTCTGGGAGCAATTTCTTGGTTCGCTGTACATCCGACTAGTATGAACAATACAAATCGTCTTGTGTCGAGTGACAATGTTGGTTATGCCTCAATTCTTCTTGAACAGGAAATGAACAAGGGAGCATTAATTGGAAAGGTAACGGATTTTTTATTTAAATAAACTGAGGAATGTTCAAAAAACGATTGTTGCTAACTATTAATTTTTGTTAAAAAACATTTGGTTTTTGAGGGAGATTTAAAAATAAACCTTCTAATTTTCTAATTAACCATCTAGTCATTAGGATTAGATGTTTATTTTTGCTTCAAATATGCGGGTTATTATATTTTCCAAAAGAACAGATTGTTATGTTTCATTTTCATTTAGGCACAAAATCTGTTAATAGTTTTGAAAATTATTGATTGACAGCTATAATAAACGTTTTATTTTTTGTTTGTTCAAAGGGTCCATTTGTATCAGCGTTTGCCTCCAGTAATTTAGGCGACGTTTCGCCGAATACCCGAGGACCAAAGTGCGAGTTTTCCGGAAATCCATGCACCGAACAATACACATGTTCCGGTAAAAAGGAAAGATGTTTTTCATCCGGTCCCGGAAGGGATATGTTCGAAAGTACCAGTATCATCGCTCACAAATTGTACGAGAAATCATTGGTGAGTCCGTATAATTTTTACTTGACAAATTTTTACTTGCTAAGCGCGCCTTTCTAGATAATTATTTAGAAACAAAAAACAGAATAACATAATTGTTACTTAAAAAATAGCAACAACAATAAACAATCTGCTGCTAAGTTTTATCATTAATGATTTTTTTATCTCTATTCAATAATATTTCGTTTTTTTTCTGTCTTTCTCTATTCTGGACAAATAAGGAAAATTGGTCTCTGTTTATAACGCTGAAAATCTAACGCATTTCCAACTCTCTCTCTCTCTCTCTCTCTATTCAATGAAAATTACATAAAATTGTTTCTCATCAATTAACGACATTTCTTTTTTCCTCTTTCCAAAATAAATAACAATGTCTTCCTTTACCTTGTAATGAATATGAAACAAATATTCGCATAAAATCCGAGCGAGAAATTAACAATGGACATAACTGTAAATTTTGCACGCGTAAGTGGCATCAATCGACGAAGATGTGCGTCAACTGACGAATTTTGACCGCTGCGCACCTTCGAGCTACTCCCACCGCGCCGTCGCGTCGCCCACCACCTCATAATCGACCAATAGCGCGCTACTCGTGCAATGCGCGAGTATAAATATCGGCGTTCAGCAGGCATTCTCTGTCTGTCTGTGATCTCTAATGTACAAATTAGGTTGATGCGGATGCATCTTTACCCTTGTTGTCTCACATTGAAGTTGATTGAGTCCTTGAGGATTGTCGAGTTAAATAATTTTTAAAAGGGGCCCACGTCCAATATTTCAATTAGACGAGGGCGCCGAGCACTTGGTCGGCAATCTTCGGGTTTATAGTTTAAAATATTTTTAAGTGACTCATTTTTGTGTTCTTCGATTTGTTTGAAAAATTTAGTAGCTGAGTCGCGGCAGAATCTGCGAATACTAAGAATGTTAAGATCTTTGTGTAATTGTTCATTTGTGACGAACCATGGAGCATTAGTGATCATCCTCAATATTTTGTTTTGAATTACTTGAATTTTGTCGATGTGAACTTTTGCTGCTGCACCCCAAGTTGTGATACAGTAGGTCACGGCAGGCCTGATGATAGATGTGAGAATAAGTCTTTTGCAGTTCAAGTCTAAGTGAGGATTTTGAAGAAGTGGCTTCAAATTTGAGATGGCAGCAAGACCAATTTTCTTCATTTCACATGTGTGTTTGTTCCATAGGGTACCTGGACAAAAAGTCCAAACCAAAAAGTCCAAGACAAAAAGTCCACAGTCAATGAAATCCAAAAAAAAATTTTGAAAATTGTTTATGTTGGATTTTTTAGATTGGATTTTATGTCTTGGTCAAAATGTCCAAAGTAAAAGTAAAAAGTCCAAAATTGAAAAAATTCCAAAAAAATATAAGCAATGTGAAATTGTCATTTTTATTTATGCGGTTGTCTTTTCTTTAATCTTCTGTCAATTTCTCTTTCTCGTTCACATTTATTCAAAATTTTCAAAATTATAAAGTTCAAAGTCATTTTAATCATTATTTATTCATTTTGAATTGTAAAAATTTTTGAATTTTGCAACGTGTTTAAAGCACAATGGCTTTACAAGAATTAGAAATTATTGTGAAAGGTCGAAACACCTATGGACATTTTGAAGGGTTCCTTTACGTTGGATCTTATGTTAGAGGTGATATAAAATATTGGAAGTGCAAAAATAATAAAACTTGTGCAGCACGTTTGACTACTGTTAGTGGAGGACGAAATGTTATGGTCAGAAAAGGTGGTTCAGCTGAGTCTCATACCGGTCATGGACCTAACCCTGATTCATATAGAATTTTGAATATAGTAAAAACTTACGAAGAGTACTCACAGGAGGAGAAAGAATTAGAATATATCAAATTACTTGGTCACCATATTCACATGTAAATGTGAATACAAACGGAATAAATTTAAGAGTCTTCTCATCCTCAAAATTGGTTTGATTTATTTTTTTTATTTCATTTGGATTTTTTTACTTTGGACATTTTCTCTTTGGATTTTTTGTACTTTGGATTTTTTTTCTTGGATGTTTTGGTGTGGATATTTTGGATTGGACTTTTTGTCCTATATTCGTTCCATAGTAGTTTTCTATCAATGTGAAGGCCTAGATATTTTGCTTCGTTTGACCAATTAATGATCGCATCTTTGACTTCGATTTTTGCAGATGGTAACTCACGTTTTCTGGTGTGAAAGACTGCTTGCGTTTTTTCATTGTTAATTCCGATTTTCCATTTGTCCATCCATTTTACAATTTCGTCAAGTGATTTTTCAAGTCTGGATACCGTAAGTATTTCGTTTCGACACTGGGAGATGACAGCTGTGTCATCCGCAAATAGGGCAATTTCAGAGTAGTCATTTTTTGGAATATCGTGCGTGTAAAGGTTATACAGAATGGGGCCAAGAACAGAACCCTGAGGAACACCAGCCAGTATGGGGTGATTTGAGGAGAAGCTGTCCTCCACTTTTACTTTAAAACTTCTTTTTTGCAGAAAAGAGCGGATAATTTTTACCAGGTTTGTGGAGATCCCTGCTGCATTCAGTTTGTGGATAAGTCCATGATGCCACACCTTGTCAAACGCTTTTGCTACATCCATATATGCTATTGCCGTAAAATTCTTATCGGCAAATCCTTTGTGGATTAATTCAACGAGTCTGAGAGTTTGTTGGTTTGTGGAATGACCTTTGCGGAAACCAAATTGCTCGCTCGGTAGTAGATCCAGTTCCTCCACTTCTTTCAATAATCTGGATAAAATTATGCGCTCAAATATCTTGGAGAAGGCAGGTAGAAGACTAATTGGTCGGTGATTTTCTGGAAACTTCCAGTCCTTGTCTGGTTTAGGAATGGTGATAATATTTGCCAATTTCCAGTCGGCTGGGAAATAGTTTAATCGTAAACTAGCGTTGATGATGTTCAGAAGCTTGACCTTGGCTTTACGAGGCATTTCCTTTATGGTTTTGTTGCTTATTAAGTCGTTGCCAGGAGCTTTCTTGTGTTTAAGTCTTCTGATTATGATTTCTATTTCTTGAAGAGTGGCTGTGCTGATAGGATCTGGTGGAGTTTCGTCTATTTGGTCTATTGTGCCAAGGACCTCCTCCTCAAGTTCTTCCGCGTCTTCATCGTCAGGATCTGGTTCATTTGGCGTACATTGTCTTTCTATGCTGCTTGCCAGAATTTCAGCTTTCTCGATGTTTGTGTATCCCATTCCATTTGTCCCTTGTAGGGGAGGTATTTTTGAACGCTTCGTTTTGAGAGCTTTTATTAGTTTCCATAAACCACTTCGGTCTGAATTTAGCGATTCTATTTTGTTGTCCCATCTGCTATTGTGGAAGTCTCGTAGTTTCAATCTAAGTTGGTTATTTAGTCTAGTAGCATACGAGATATCATCCGGGTGGCATGTTCTTTGCGCCTTTTTTCGAGCTTTCCTCTTGTCCTTAATCATTTGTCGCATACTCAACCGGCAAGACAACAATGTTTGGAGTGTTTGCTGTAATTTCCTTCGTACATATTTTTGTAGCATGTTGAATTTCATGTGTAAGGATTTTTAATTCCATGTCAATTTCTTGTGTAGTTTTCAGTGTCCTAATATTTTCCATATTGTTTTTTAAAAAGATTGTGAAGCGGTTCCAGTTTATAAAAGATTTTGTAGTAGATTGTTTAATTTGCTGGTTTCCAGTGAGTGAAATTTGAATAGGGTTGTGATCAGAGCTGAGGTCTTGGACTACCTGCAAGTTGAGATCTTGTTGAATATTTTTGGTAATTACAATGTCCAAGATTTCAGGTCTACCAGTTGTGCAGTAATGTGTTGGAGCATTTGGGATGTGAAGATCGATGTCTTTATTGAGAAAGTATTGCAGTAGAGCTTTTCCAGATTTATTCGAAGTGTTGCAGCCCCAGTATGTGTTCTTGGCGTTTAAATCGCCCATCAGGATAACCTTGTTATTTAAAGAGAAAAAAGCGTTCAAGTCAGCTTCTGTGATGTGTTTTTTGGGTGAGCAGTAAGTGGCAATGATGAGAATCGGTCCACTAGGCCTTTGGATTTCAATGATAGAGTTTTTTATTTGCGAGTCTTGAGTTTGTTGAAGGGTATGTTGAATGTGTTTCTTGATCAAGACAGCTGTTCCTCCATGTGGTTCGGCTACGCGATCGGTTCTGTATACTGTGTAATTTGGTATAGTAAGATTGTTTCCATTTTTGAGCCAAGTTTCGCCCAGTAGCATTATGTCGATATTTTCTTCCAGTAAGAAGTTTGTCAGTTCGTGTTTTTTGTTGAGTATACCACAAGCATTCCAATAGAAAATTGTTAAATCATTTTGAGAACTTTTATCCATTATGAATTTGGGCTATTTCCTTGGAACATTTTTCCTAGTTGCAAGGCGACTTCTTGCATTTGGCTATACATGGAGTTGAATTTTGAGAATAGGTCTTGTAACGACATTTCACCAGTTTTAACTGCGGGTTCACTACTTTGTGTGGAAATTCCTTTTGTTACCTCAGCAAAGGAGATATTTTTTGGCGGAGTAATTTTCATAACGGGCTTCATTTGGTTTTTCAGTTTAGGCCAGCTTTTGCAGCCCCTAAAGGATGCTGTATGTTCCTCACCACAGTTGCAACATTTTCGAGCTTTGACTGTGTCCTTTTTGCACTCGTAAGTGTGATGGTTTCCTGCACAAAAGACGCAGCGAGGATTTGCGGCACAGCGGCTTTGAGCATGTCCAAAACGTTGGCATCTGTAACACTGCCCTATGACAGCTTTCTGATGTTGGCTTTCCACTGTTATGATTACGTTGACAAGGTGTTTTAGTTGAAAAATATCTTTTTCACTTTTTGGGAGTGTAACTAGGACGAGTGGAATAGGAGTTTTGTCCTTACTTCTTTTCATACGTAAGACCGTTGCTGGATGAAATCCCAAATCCTCGAGTTCAAGTTTGACGAGATCGGTTTCAATTGGTTCCGGAATTCCTCTTAGTACAATGTGAAGTAGTTTTTCTGAGGGAAGTTGCCAGGTGTGGAACTGTAGGTTTTCTTCTTTTAGTAATTTAATCAAGTTCCTGAAGTCATCGGAAGAGGATGGTTCGATGCGAATTCCTTCTGAAGTGGTTTTTGCCTTGGAAAAGTTTATCTTTTTTGAAATAAGCCTCGCACTCAGCTGAATCCATTTATCCTTATTGTGGAGTACAATTGGCGGGATTCTCTCCTTTTTTGGTGTATCATCTACAGTAGTGTCACGATTGCCGTCGTTTGAGGGTTCCTGGGTATCCATTTGTAAAACTTGAGTTTGAGAATGGGAAAACTGATTTAAGTTGTTGTTGACCTCAGAGCTTTCAATTTTTCTTGAATGTTTGCTCTGTTTTCTCCGTTTTCTGCTTGAAGACGATGACAGAACTGACTCGCACGATGAAAGGTCTTCTTCCTCATCATTCAGAGATTTTTTGGCTTCAATTTGTACCATAAGTTGCTTCACTGTGAGGGTGAGTTCGTTTATTTGGGAGGTTTGCGTTTGCAGCAAGTTTTCAAGCGATTTGATGTGATGGTGGAGTCTGCGATTTTCCGATAAAAGTAAGTTTTCCCTCGCTGAGAAGGTCGTTTCTGAGGATAGAGTATCCTGCTTGTCGTCCATAATAAAACCATGGAGAATGTTCAATATATAGTTTGGTTTGGTTTAGTCCTGAAGAAGGACTGTGTCGATCGAAGGATTTGATTTGTACGTCCGAGCAGTATGAAGGCACAGAACCGAACGACGATGTACGTCCGCGTAGCGCGAAGGCACTAGGAGTCTCATAGATGCAGGAGCATTTTCGACAGAGAAATTAATCCTTTTCAGGACAACACTAAAAGAATTAACAAACATTCAAAACACGTGATATCAAAGTGTAACCTTTGGGTCTCTTCAATAAACGAATAAATATAATATATTTTATAATATGTTTACATTTAAATATAATATATTTTATAATACGTTTACATTTAAATATAATATATTTTATAATATGTTTACATTTAAATATAATATATTTTATAATATGTTTTATATTTAAATGTAATATAATTTTAGAGAAATTACATAAATAAGAAGAGTATTTTATGACGCAGAAAATTACTGGATTATGCCCTGAAAAACTGATTATTATGCGAAATTATGCGTTGAAAAATTAAAAACTGCGAATTGATGCTTTTGAAAGAAAAACGTTATTATGGACCAAAATAAAGCTTTTAACAATAGGTTAATTAAAAATTGCATTTTAAATTAATATATAGCTAGAATAATATATATTAAATTAAATATAAATAATAATAATAAAATAAGTTGTAGGGTACAAAAATTGATCATTTGCATGAATTTTTTTAAGAAAAACCACCAACATTTTTAAATAAAGCAACTTATTTTCTATATTTATAAAAGTAATAAAAAAAATTCTTTTTTGACAAAATGACAACCACTGAAATTTAACGAATCGATTTTTTCTAAAAAAAAAACTGGGTTCTTAGCTGTAAAAAGATATTTTTAAAGAATTTTCACTAAACTTTGCAAGTAAATAATTCCAAGTTTGCAAGTAAATTTTTAGTAAATATTTAAGCACAAAGGAAAAAAAAGTCTGACTTCGTTTACACCTTAAATTCAGCCTCAAAAATAATCTGAAAGTAAAACTTTTTTTTTAGTGTGTAAATTTTTAGTGTTGTGTGGGTAAACTTAGAAAAAAAAATTTTTTGTTGAAAAATGTAGAAGTAATCTTAAAATTATCGTTACCGACTTGTAGAGCTTCAAAAAACGCTTCGATTGACCTATTTTTGAACCTAATTCGATAATAAATTTCGAAATTATTGGTATTTTAAAAACCAAAAATTGTGGAAAATGACATTTTCTCAAATTTTTTTTTTTTGAAAATTTTTGTTTAACCATTAAACTATTATAACTATATTGTAGAGTATTTAAAAATAAATTGATTGACCCAAGATACAATCACTTTTACCATATTTATAAAAAGTTATTCATATATTTTCCTATTATTATTCTTATCTCTATGTGGAAGTAAAGTGTTCATGAAATGAGCACCAAAATTTTATAAAAAATATTGTCAGCGGTTTTAATACGATTTTAATCGAATTCTTCGAAAAATGTAATTATTCTTAAAAATTTTATTAAAATTCATGAAAAGAATTCAATTATTTAAAAATTTATTTATAAAATTCTTTAAGAGAATTCAATTTTAAAGTATGCAATTATTCAATAAATTGTTTTTTTTTTGAATTTTTTAAATTGAATTCTAGTAGAATTTTCTAATGAAAATTGATTTAAAAATGGATTTCAGTTAAAATTTTCGATTATAATTGAATATTAACAGCATTAGAGCGTGAATTTTTAGAAATAATTGAATTTTAAAAGGGTTTCAAATTAAAATCTTTGAAAATGTGAATTTTTCATCTTTTTAACTATAACAATTCTGTGGAATTAATTATTTTAAAAAAAGTTTAATTAAAAAGTTTTAATTTTCAAGAATAATTAACATTCTTTGCAAAAATTAAATATTCTTCAAAAATAATAAAATTCTTCTTAGGGATTCAATTATTTTCACAAATAATAAAATTTATAATAAAATTTCAATTATTTTTAATACAATTTTAACCTCAATTTTAATCAAATTCCTTAGAAAAATGTAATTATTTTTGAAAATTTTATTAAAATTTGTCGAGAAAATTCAATCGTTTAAAAATTTGTTGATTAAATTCTTTATGGGAATTGAATTTTAAGAAACATTCAATTATTCAATAAATTATTTATTTTTGTATTTAAATAATCGAATTCTAGTAAAATTTTCTAATAAAAATTGATTTAAAAATTAATTTTAGTTAAAATTTTAGATACTAATTGAATATGAAAAGCAATATATAGCGTGAATTTTTAGAAATAATTGAATTTTGAAATTAATTTTTTCGAAAAAGTTTAATTGAATTTTTTTAATATTATTTTAAGTTTTTATTTTCTTATATATATTTAATTGAAGAATTCTGCTTTTGGAAATATTTTTCAATCTTAAAATATGAGATAACGGATTATTTTTTTTTTTTTGAAAAAACAGAAAGGCAGACGAGAACATTAAAAATCACTTTATTTGCGAAGGATTTTGTTTTATACAAATGTCAGTAGTATTTTACAAACTTAAATTATTTATTTGTCACTGTGAAATTAAAAGTTGAGCAGAAAATATTTCGTACAATAAAGTTTTTTCAAAAAAAAAAAAAAACTTCTATGAGGGTGGAAGATGTCATACATTTTATGAGAATGAAACGTGGATCGCTTTATATAAGTGAAAAATAATCTCAAGAGACAAACAATATTCTTTCCTCGAAAAATGAACGCACTTCTATATATTGACATAGAAAAGTTTCATTTTAAAATTTACAGAATATACAATCTTTTATTCTTCCAGTTGGCAAACGAAGATTAATTCTTTCATTTTCGCAAAATTGATAATAATTTATATTTTACAAAATAAAAATCTTTGAGAATAAATAGATTTTACAATTAGTTACTAATTTTTCCAATTAACATTTTTTTTCTTAAATTCAAAAAAAAAAATTGTTGAATTAGGAAAAAAAATGTTTCGTTTTCGAAAAATACAGAAAAATTCTCGATAAGTGGACGGTTATTGAGATGCAATAAATTATCGAGAGTTTATACTGTAGAAAAAATTTGAATTTTTAATTTTTAATTTAGTAATTAGTAATTTAGTATCCTAAGTGACCGTGGTGGGTTGGTACAATTGCGGGTGCCACATATTTAGCGACAGGTGTTGGATGAATGGCGTGACCAATTTTTTTCACAACCGCATTAAAACCATTGTGAGGATCGGCAGTGTATTCGACAACTCTGATTGTGCCATCGGGCTCATTTAGACTGTAAGAACCTTTTACAACATCGCCGTCTCGTTCTTCGTGAGCGCTTTTAACATCGCCAGTCGTTGGATCATTGACACCATAATTATACGCGTATTTTGGATACGCCTGAAATGAATAATAAAATTAGATATTATTTCACGAATAATAAAATTAATACTATTTTGCAAATACAATTTTTGCAAATAAATTAAATTAATACTATGAATTCAAAAAAAATGTTTCCCAAAAGTATTCGTAAAGAAAAAAAAATTTACAGTCCCCTGGAATCGAACCCAAGACTGGAATTTATCAATCGATGTGCGTTGCCACTCGGCTACGTCACAAGTGTTCTTTTCCCTTCGACTCAAATTTCAAATCAATCATTTTAGAAGTAATTTTACAATCAATTATAATCTATTTACTGACTATTGTACATTATACTTCTAATTGCATTTATATTTCATTACTATTGGCTAAAATTTATAAGAGAAATTAAAAATAAAAAATAAAATACAAAAATAAAAGAATAAAAATAGAAAATTTTTTTTCAAATATTTTTTCAAAATGGAGTCGAGACTACTTACGTAAGAATCGTGGTGTTCGTCATGATGTCCGTCATTGTGACCGTAGGCACTGACGTATCCGTTTCCGTAGGAACCATAACCTCCATAAACACCGTTGAGTCCATAAGCACCGTTGAGTCCATAACCGCCGTTGAGTCCATAACCACCGTAACTGGCGTAACCCGGATTGTAAGCAACTTTATTCACAACTGGCACTAAACCAACTTGCGCAACTGGTGCCGCGTAACCATAACCGTCCGCTAAGCCGTTATAGCCAACGTCACCGTATCCGTAACCGTCGTATTCCGAAATCACCGCATTGCTGCCAACTGCTGCCGCCACAATCAAAACTGCTACCTGATAAATTTGAAACAAAAATTGGTTTAATATTTTTTTGATACAGTGAATTCGTAATTAATTGTATTGTATCGTATTATATTATTTTCTATTATTATAATATATAATATATAATATATAATATATAATATATAATATATAATATATTATATATTATATATAATGAAACGTTATACAATGTAATGCAATATAATAAAACATATTAAAATATAATATAATACAAAAAAATATTTAAAAACTAAGGAAATAATTAATACAATTTTAATTATTTAAATTGATAATAAATAACAAATATAAAATAAAAGTAAAAATTTCCATTTCCATTTAAATAAATTTGCTTATTTCTTTTTTGCAATATTTTATAGAGTACACATTAAATATTAATGAATCAAAATTATTCTGTAAAGTTAAATTATTATCAATTTTATCAAACAATATACTCACGGCAATATGTACAAATAAATTAACATATTGAAATTAATTAAATTAAATTATAAATTAATATAAAACACTTTTTATCGAAATAAACTACTTTGTCAGTGCATTTTATATAAAATGAAATGAAATATAATATAATATAATATAATATAATATAATATAATATAATATAATATAATATAATATAATATAATATAATATAATATAATATAATATAATATAATATAATATAATATAATATAATATAATATAATATAATATAATATAATATAATATAATATAATATAATATAATTAATTGTTGAATAAAAAATAATCTTTACTTTGAAATAAATAAATAAATAATTTATTAATTCATAATAATTATCATTATAATTATTCTAAATAATAAATTATTAATAACTACAATTGTCATATAAGTAATAAAATAATTTGAATTATTTTTTTTATCTTCTTATTATTTTGAAAAAGAATTCCTTCCGACAAATATTTTTCGTTCGCTTGAGTATTTTTTTGAAAATGTTCACTTTAGCGTAAAACTTAAGAAAAATATAATGTCAACGAATAAAAATGAAGAAAATCATTTTGAGTAGAGAAAATTTGAAAAATACTTTTTCAGCAAACTTTAATGTCACATTTTTCTTTTTCATTTTTCTTTTTTTTTATTTTTACTACTAAATCTTTTGATATTTGCGAAAAATTAAACTTTACAATTTGAAGTTAAGGAAAAAGTAGAAAAAATGTATTATAAAACTTTGACACTAAAAGTAAAATCACAATGATATTTTTAAGAAAAAGAAAGAAAATTCTCTTTTTAAAAACTTTATTCGTTGCACAAAATTACAATCAATAAATAAAATTCTAACATCACTGAAAAATTTTCTCTTATTTTCTGTTAAAAATTTGTTCTTTTCTCGTATATATATAACTTTTTTCAAAGAAAAAGAAAACTGATATCTTTATTCACACGTACCTCGAGGAACAACATTTTTTTAATTTTTGTTGATTTGTTTAAGCTGCGAAAACACAAACTAATATCACCACTGTCCACTCCGTCTCTTTTATAGGGAAATTTTACAAAAAGGTGGTGGCGTTTGCCTGCTCCAGAATGAAGGAGAGCTCCCGTTTGTCTCTTACACATTGTGTTGTGTAATTCAAGGTCTTGTACTATAACTTTTTTTTTCTTCTTCTTCTCGGTTCTCGATGTTTTTTTTTTCATTTAATTTCTTTTCATTCTTTACTTCGATCAATGAAACCTGCGTGCGTTACCGAATGTATATTATAATCGTTGTACTTAGACGACAAATGACCGGGACCAGGGCGATAGACCGCGGATTTTCTGAAGGACGTGACAATAAACGTGCAGTCAATACCTCTGTACATAATATTAGGAATAAAAAAATAAATAGAGAAAAAGTACCATGACCAATTAGAAACTATTTATATTTTTATTCTAAATTCAGTGCCAAGGGGAAAGGAGAGGGGAATTAGTTTTTCATTAAAATTTATTCTATTAATACTATTGAAAGACAATAATAAATAAGAGTGATTTAAATAATAATAATAATAATATTAATAGAAATCATAAAAATGATGTAAAATTTATTTTATTCTATTTGAATCGATTCAATTCTGGAATATTCAATTTAATTTGATTTTCTTCAATTCGACTAGATTTTACTTTCTTTTATTCGATTTTATGCGATCCTACTCGATACAATTATTTACTATAATCGATTCGATTTCATTCGGTTTGTTTCTATTAATTTTGAATAAATTTGGTTCCATTTTATTTAATTTTATTCAAATCCATTCGATTCAATATAATTTTATTCGCTTGTGTAAAATTTAATTCAATTTTATTCGATTTTGTTTAATTTCATTCGATTTTATTCAATTTTCTTCAACTCTGTTCGATTTTAATTAATTTTATGTGTTTAAATTTGTTTCTATTTACTTCTATTCGAATCTTTTAAATCTATTCACTTTGTTTTAATTACATTTGATTCGATTTAATTCTGTACTATTCAATTCAATTAGATTATGTTCGATTCTACTCGATTCTGTTTTATTTTACATGATTTAATTCGAACCCATTCGAATCAGTACGATTTTATTCGATTCTGTACGAATTTACTGGATTTTATTTAATTTTATTCAATTTTATTTATTTTTGTGCAATTTCATTCGATTTTATTTAATTTTATTCAATTTTGTTCGATTTTATTCAATTTTATTCAATTTTGTTCAATTTTATTCAATTTTATTCGATTTTATTTGATTCTATTAAATTGAATCCATTTCTATTTGATTCTATTCAATTCGATTTAATTTTCTACTATTCAATTCAATTAGATCATTCACGATTCCACTCGATTCTGATTTATTTTATATGATTTTATTCGAACCTATTCTATTTAATACGATTTAATTCGATTCTGTACGAATTTTTTCGATTTTATTCAATTTTGTTTGATTTTATTCAACTTTATTCAATTTTTTTCAATTTTATTCAAATTTATTCAATTTTATTTATTTGTGTGCGATTTCATTCGATTTTATTCAATTTTGTTCGAATTTATTCGATTCTATTAAATTGAATTCATTTCTTTTTGATTCTATTCAATTCCATTTAATTTTGTACTATTCAATTCAATTAGATCATTTATTATTCCACTCGATTCTGCTTTATTTTATATGATTTTATTCGAACCTATTCGATTCAGTACGATTTAATTCGTTTCTGTACGAATTTATTCGATTTTATTGAATTTTATTCATTTTTGTGCAATTTTATACGATTTTATTTAATTGTGTTCGATTTTATTCAATTTTGTTCGATTTTATTCGATTCTATTAAATTGAATTTATTCTCGATTTTTTTCGACTATATTCGATTTCATTCAATTTAATTCGATTTTATCTATTTTTTTCGATTCTATTAGATTCAATTAATTTCTATTCGATTGTATTTTGATTTATTCTATTCTATTTAAATATACTCGTTTCTATTCAATTTGTTTCAATTTTATGTTATTCGATTTAATTCCAATTTATTATAATCAAATAAATCTTGGGTTTAATTTATTTATTTATTTCGATTTTATTCAATTCGATTTTGTTCTATTTGATTATATTCAATTAAATTCGGTTCAATTGCATGTAATTCAAATCCATTAAATTCTATTTAATTTAATTCTTTTTTATTCTATTCAACTCTATTTTATTCAAATTATTTTTATCCTTTTCGATTCAATTCTATTTAATTCCAATCTATTGGATTCTATTTAATTCCATTCTTTTGAATTTCGATTCAATTCTATTTGATTCAGTTCTATTCAGTTTTATACGGATCTAGTTTATTCTATTCAATTTTATTGAATACGAATAATTTATTCAAATCAATTCTATTTAATTCGATTCTTTTCTATTTAATTTAATTCTATTCGAATTTATTCAATTCGGTTCTATTAAATTCGAGTAAATTCAAGTCGATTCAATTTTATTGAATTCTATTTGATTCGATTCAATTCTATTTAATTCAGCTCCTTTTAATTTTATTTTCTTCGATTTTATTCTACTAAATTTTATTTTATACGAATAATTTATTCGAATCGATTCTGTTCTATTTACTTTAATTCTATTCGAATTTATTCAATTCAATTCTATTAAATAAAAATCTATTTAATTCCATTAGATTCGATTAAATTCTATTTAATTCGATTCAATTGACGTTTATTAATTTCAATTCAATTCCATTTAATTTTAAATGTTGAATTTTATTCTTTTCGATTCTATTCTACTAAATTTTATTTTACACGAATAACTTATTCGAATCGATTCTATTTAACTCGATTAAATCCAATTTGATTCTACTTAATTCAATTCTATTTAATTGAATTCTATTCTATTGAATTCTATTTAATTCGATTCAATTCAATTTCATTAGATTCGATTAAATTCTGTTTAATTCAATTCTATTTGATTTGATTAAATTCATTTCCATTCAATTCTATTCAATTTTATACTATTCAAACAGAATCGATTTGTTTCGATTCTTTTGTATCTGATTCTTTTGAATTCTATTCGATTCTTCTAAATTAAATATAAATAATAATAGAGATAGTTAGAAATAAGTAATAAAAAATTCCAAAATAATAATAATAATAATTTTTAAAAAATCAAAAATTTATTCTATTAAATACATTTTCCATACAAGAAACGTGTACAAATTTTTCTATTATAATTATTTATTTATTTATTCAAAAGTATATTATTATTTTTCATTTTTTTTTTAATTAAAACACATCTCAAAATAAAGATAAATCCTTTTCTCTTGAAATTATAATATATTATTATGTCATGTTTAAATAAGTAGGGCGATTACTCACACACATCTTTCTCACATAATAATTTTTGCATATTATAAATACAATAAAAATATATTGTTCTTCATATTCCATCTTCCCTCTACATTTACAATTTTTGAGTTTAACATTTTCATTTGTAAATAAAAAAAAACTCTTAAATTTATTAATATTATTATTATTATTATTATTATTATTATTATTATTATTATTATTATTATTATTTGTATTATTATTATTGTTATTATTATTATGTATGCTTAATAATTCTTTTCATATTCCTAATTAAAAATACTTGGTAATTTTTTTTTCCTCATTTTATTTTGTAAAAATCCTTGCTTCTTAAATATATGTATATATAACAAGAAAAATATATTATTGATGACGAGACTTTGAAGAAAATAAACAACGCTAATAAGTGTCAAGGCATTAGTGAACCAATAGCATTGTTCTCATTTCTAGGCGGAGCCTAATTTTAAAAAAAGAGAAAACGTTAAATCTCAAGTTTTTAGTTATTATATGGAATTTTACACTTACGACATGTGTGTGCGGGAACTTGAAATACATTATTATATAGGCGGGTAAAAAAAAATATAAATATAACACGTTTTTTTTCTAGAATTATATATATAATATATATATACATGTATGTGATTTAGTTATATAATATTATATTTATTGTATATGGAGAAATTGTGTGCTTATAATTTTATGGAAAAGTTGTTAAAATATGTTCTATTTGGATTTTGTAATTACCCCTTTCTTTAAATTCTTATTAATTTTTATATTTACTTTTCACACTTTTTATTTCCTTTTAGTTACTTTTTTAATTTTTATGTACTTTTATTTACTTTTTATTTATTTTATTTTTTTACTTTTTCTATTTTTTTCACCTTTCTTTATTTTTTTATTTATACTACTTTATTCAATTTTCTTATTTTGTTTTTACTTTTTCTTTACTTTTCTTTATTTTATTCAATTTTCTTGATTTATTTTTTACTTTTTCTATTTTTTCCTTTTCTTTATTTTTTATTTACTTTATTTAGTTTCTTATTTACTTTTAATTCACTTATCGTTGACTTATAATTTACTTATTATTGACTTATTATTTAATTTTTCATTAATTTTTATTTACTTTTATTTACAAAAATTTTCTGTTTTAAATTTCCCGCCTTATCTTCCAATGAGACTTTCCAATGAGGATTAATTTCATTTGGCAAATTTGGCCAATAAGGTGCTTCGATATATCGAACATCACCTCGATATATCAGTTGTAATTAAACATAACCTAGAAAAATTTATCAACTTTGTTTTCAATTTTACATTTAATTTAATTCAAAGAAAAATAAATAAAAATAAATTTAACTTGATTAAAAATTATTTCAATTTAAAAAATTTTTTTTTCTCTTTTATTTGTTTTTTTTTTGAGGGGCGGGGGTAGTAAATCAAGTTTTTCTATAAATATAAACAAAAATATATTACAGAGAAAGTTGATAGAAGGGAAAATTTGATTTTATCTTTAAAATTCAATTTTCGTATAGAGCTGTAGATTATTTGCAGCACAATATGGATTATACCTTAAGGGATTAATTTAAAGTCAGGTTTCAATATTAGTTGGGGATTTGTATACTGTTAATAGCAGGAGAAATTTGAGTATAACTTGGACATTTAAATATTAGTTTCATTTCAATATTTAATAGTAAATTAATTATTTTATGTAGTATATACATATACACTTTGATAATTTGATCCTCAACACCATAACTATATTCAGTTACAGTATAATATTAATAGATTTTATTTCATAATAAATAATTGTAGAAAAAACTCGTTTTCTTTTGTCTCATTTTGTTTTAAATTATTTAATTTAATTATATTTTCCCTAATTCAATTGAAAAATTTCATTTTATTAATTTTGTAATAAAAAAAATTTTTTTTTCAGTAATATTTATTTATAAATAATAGTTAGTAATTAGCTCCAAAACTAATTAATTTTTAAACTAATTTACAATTGTTGAGACTCAATGAATGCAAAATTATG